AAGGCGTCCATTTTTTTGAAGTTAGTAGCCACCAGGGACATTAAACTTGAAAGCCACTCTGTAGTACTTAACGTTCCATGCTATTTCACACGTATTTTTTACTATACAGGGTGATTGGTAACTCGATACATTCCTTTTAAGGGGTGAAAGTAGACATAATTTGAAGCAAATTAAGTCAAGTTATACCCTGTCCGAAAATTAGTAGTTTCGAAGATATTGAAGATTTAAAGTTTTAAAAAAAAAATCCCGATTCTCAGCTTTGTTATTTTTTTGGAATTTTATTTCTGTCCGTTTCTACTTTGTTTTCATTTTATCTAGTAGTTATTGAATTGAAGTTATTGTTTAATAGCAATAGAGTACGAAATAACCGTTAAATTTGCCATAGTGGTTCAAAAATGATGAGAACTACCGAAAAAGAAACAACAATTTATTTATTAAAAGGAGTGCCTTGTAAAAAAATTATATGGAACGATGTGTACAAATTGCTTAAATTACTTCTTTGTACTGTTACCTATTCAAAACAGTTACAATGTTAACTACAATGTTAATTTTTCTAATACAAAAGTGATGAAAATCAAGAACAAATTGCGAGTTCACTACACTTGATTTTATGGTAAAATAAGTTTTATAGGGAAAATGTTAAAGAAATGTTGACACTTGACAATCTGTAACGTTTATTACCTTAAAGTACAAACTCTTAACTAAGTTATTCTAAATTTTATACATTTATTGTAAGTCCTGCTCAAAATGGGAACCTCGGTTCCTAATACACGCTCTTAGTCTTCTGCGTACTTCACTTGTCGTTACCCGCGATGTTATAATTGTTCTTATTTGTTCAGCTGCGTCAATTATTCTCTGCCTTAGCTCATCTAATGAATTTACGGGCGTTTCATACACCAAACTTTTCATAAATAAAAATCGCCCCCATAAATAAAAATCGCACGGTGTCAAATCTGGGCACCGTGCTGGGCCAAGGAATCGGCCCGCCTCGACCAATCCAACGGTCTGGACAATTCGTGTCCAGCCATTGTCACACATCTAGGTGGAAGTGAGCTGGGCAGCCATCATGCTGGTAAATCAGATTTAAAAATGTTCTAATGGGTACATCTTCTAACAATACAGACGAATTATCCCTCAAGAAATTTTCGTACATCTCTCCATTTAAATGGTCAGGGAAAAAGTAAGGCCCGATTAAATGTCTGGCAATGATTCCCATCCAGATGTTAAGGGAAAACCTTCTCTGGTGGGAAGTTTCTTTTTTTTCGTGGGTTTTCACGTCTCGGGTTCCACAAATGTGCATTGTGGAAATTTGTGATTCCGTCGCGATCAAACTTGGATTCGTCTGTCCATAATATTCTTGACAAAAAATTTGGGTCTTCCAGATCGGCATTAATCATGAAACGGCAATAATCTAACCTTCTAACTGGATCTCCTTCCTCCAATCCTTGCACAGGAGTGTAATGGTACGGGTACAGGCCAGCGGTGTGAACAGTGAACCACACTTTCCATTGTGCTGTGCCAAGTAGCCTGACTACAATCCTAGTAGAAGTGGTAGGGTCTCTTCTAAAAGCCTCTAATATTTCCTCTTCTTCCACTGGAACAAAACGTGTAGGCCTGCCACAATTTCTACGCGTTCGAGTGTTGTCGATGTCGTCCCGCCTCAAGCGCGTGTAAGTGCCAGAAAACACTCTCTCGTTTGGCACACGACTATTAGGGTAGAGCCGCATGTACTCCCTTCGTGCCGCAGCAGCATTACCATCACAAAAACCGTAACAGAACACAATGTCCGCGTGTTCTTCGTTCGTATACTCAGACATTTTATCACTGATGTAACCAGAAAAACTTCGAAAAGTAGAATGCAACGACACGTCCGTACTCAGGAATAGTTAAAGCCAACTAAACTAAAATAATATTAAATGGTTTGTGAATACTTTACAAAGGTCCCGATTGATGCCGAGGCTAAATAAAAGAATTTAGATATATTAGCTCCAGGTGAACTGTTAACAGAGAGCAGTTGGGTTCGTATTTTTAAGAAACGCTCGTCCGACCCACAATTGTATTGTTCCAAAAACTTGTAACTTATCTCTTATTTGGTACAACATATGTACTTTTTGAATAAGTAACAATACAAAGAAGTAATTTAAGTAATTTGTACACATCGTTCCATATAATTTTTTTACAAGGCACTCCTTTTAATAAATAAATTGTTGTTTTTTTTTTCGGTAGTTCTCATCATTTTTGAACCATAATGGCAAATTTAACAGTTATTTCGTACTCTATTGCTATTAAAGAATAACTTTAATTCAATAACTACTAGATAAAATGAAAACTAACCAGAAACGGACAGAAATAAAATTCCAAAAAAATAACAAAACTGAGAATCGGGATTTAAAAAAAAAAATTTAAATCTTCAATATCTTCTACTAATTTTCGGACAGGGTATAAATTGACTTAATTTGCTTCAAATTAGGTCTACTTTCACCCCTTAAAACCGACAACCGAATGTCACCATTGTGGCTGCTGTGAAGACACGGCACAGCACACGCTGCAGGTGTGCCCAGCCTGGGCCAATGAGCGCCGTGAACTTGTTGCCGCAGTGGGGCACGACCTGTCACTCCCTGCAATGAACAAATCAATGCTGGAAAGTGACAGGTCGTGGATGGAGGTAGTATCCTTCTGCGAACACGTAAAGTCGCAGAAGGAAGCTGCGGAGCGGGAGAGGGAGGCTACCACCCTTCTTCCAATCCGCCGCAGGAGAGCAGGACGTCGGAGGAGGCACTATCATGCCCTCCTTCAACCCCCATAACAGGGGTTTTGGCGGTGGACGCGGGGGCGTCCGCCGCCCGTAATGTATAGATCCCGAGGTGGCGCGCGCGGTGTTCCTGCGTGCCCCTGTAAGTGTTGAATGGGGTGGTGTTTCTCCAGCTCCACCTCATTGGGAAGAGGCCCACGACCGAGGGCCAGCGCCGTCGGGACCGCGGAAGAGTGCAAAAGCGTTCCCGTAGTCCCGGCAAAAGGTGCAGGGACGGAACACCGTGGGGTTTTAGTCGGTAGGAGTCCGACATGATCTGAGGCTGAGGCTGCGGGGGCAACAGAGAGATATCCATGAGGATTTCCCCACGTAAAAAAAAAAGAGGTAGTACTAGTAGGTGGTAGTACTGCCACCTTACCTATTTCTGCCGCCAAGCAGTAATCTCAGCATTACTGTGTTCCTATTTTGAATGGTAAGGGTGCTGGTAAAATTACAGGCACATAGGACTTGTCAACTTATGTCTCCGGGTGACGGGCGCAGTGGTAGTGCCCCTCAGATCTTCGCAATTTAATACTCTGAGTGGCACTGTAACTGTTAAGGACAAGCGTGTAGCTTACTATCAGGCGCACGACATATTCCTCACGTCACATGATGTTATAAAAAAAATATATTCTCTATAAAGTTTATTTATTGTATCCTTTACTTACGACCATGTAAATATTGTTATCTAACTAAACATATTGTTATTTTTCACATTTTTTGTATATGAAAAGAAAGATTTATTAAAAATCGTATCACTCGTTACGTCATAATCTCTTGACCGCAGTTATCGGTTTAAATATAAAGTGTAATCTGGTTTAAAAGTTCCTGAGCTCTATTTAAAGACCGTGTTCGTTTTACGATCGTGTTCGTGTACCTATCTCACAATTGATACTAATTTGCCATATACATCCTATTTAACGTGCGAATAGTATATGCCTTAGGACGACAATATTTATTTGTATTAAATGTATTCAAGGACAAGTTCTATTCCTGGCACCAGCTCTGCAACACATTGTAACTACAACAAGTCAATGCTCGATAGTAATATTATATCCCAGCACGTATGATTATGACTACAAAGTTTTAATCAATACAAAACTATAGAAATCGAGTCCAAGCTTAATACTTGCAAGAAATCTGGAGTCTTGCTAACATTAGCTGGTGAGTTTACATACGTCTTTCATTTATGTTACGTACGCAAAATCGCACATATTGAAGCTCTTATATCATCCCGTAATGCATAAAAATATTTATAGTGTAACTTTTCTTTTTAAGCCTCCCCACAACCATAGTACTTCATAATGTAGTTCCTATCTTAATCGAGGTGGTCGTAACGCGAGCACGAACGCGTAGGCGCGATACATATATTGATGTTTATTCAAACAATATAGTAGATAAATCTTTTTTATTATATAAATACTGGTATAGTTCAGAATTCTTCCTGCAGTGTAACACGACAGGCTGCGACTTACGCTAGAGACTGATATTGCTGTACTCGCGCTTAGGGTTTACGGTTTTTCAATGGGATGTGAGAAGGGAGTTTGTTCCACAAGTGCGCTGCTCGAGAAGAAAAGAGTTAAATAAATAATGTGTTTTTCTTGTGAAATCATTTGGGTATTTTTTACTTCATTGAAACGTGGCATGGTTAGTGAATCACTAAGAAAAAAGCTCACCAAAACAAAACTGTAGTCGTTTTTTAGTACTATAGGAAAATTTTCTATCATTATAGCGAAACTTATTACCGTCTCATCAATTTTGACAATGGGATCTATAAACAACCCGAAACGTTAGTTTATTTGAAAAAAATATATATACGCGATTCTCATACGAAAAAATAGTTTCATTTCCAATATAAATAAAATAAAGTATAAATAAAATAGTAAACACTACTTATTGCAGTAGGTATAGGGCATTGTGACACTTCTCTACAGAATAAAGCGTGTGTCGGTTACTGTAACACGCTAGTATTTTGTTAATAGTTTATTCATTATTCTCATAAAGTCGCAGTTCTCATGGCGAGCGCACGCGCGCGCTTCCCTAGACTCATTATTCAGGCCGGGCGCGTGAAGTTAAATAAAATACATTTAAAATAGAAAATTAGTATCATTAAACATGTAGTGTAAATAAAACGTAGTGTTCTAAAATTATTTGAACAATGTTCTTCTGCTCCGATTGTGGTATGTAACATTTTAATTATATTTTTTAGTTAAGAGCGCACTGTGAAAATGTTGCTAAAACCATCAACCTGAACATTGTACGACTGAGGTTCAGCGCTCACGACATCCTCACCGATAAGGAAATATGTCCCCCGGTCTTCTCGGAACCGATATCTAACATGAGTGAGTACTAAGATTGTTAATTTCTGTTATCATTTAAAGTAATTTTGTCATTTGGTTAAAATTGATCTTGTGTTTTTTTTTGTTAGCCTGCAATAGTGTCCCAGTGCAGTGCAGTGGGATACCTTATATTACATATGTCAATTTAAAAAGAACTTCAACTTTTTTTTACGCGCCAAATGAGTTAATGTTAAGGAGACACCATTGTTTAGCAAAGTAGGTAACCTTATTGAGTTTCAAATCATGCGAACGACCACACACGTCGATGTCGTAAATTTTGACATTATATAATCAACGCGTAGGCAATGATTACTTTATGTTATTTGTTGTATGTAACGTGTACTGACTCATTGATTAATTAATTTTGTAATTTATATATATAATTATAACATTTATAACTACTACTAATAACGCAGTATTGCAGTGTGCTACGGTTTTGAACTGAATATAAAGCGACAAAATGCCAACAAAATATATACTAATACTTGTACATAAATATATATGTAAGAAGATGGGTACTTTATTCACGTTAAGTTTACCAGTATTTTGCGTTACTGCGTTATTGTCAAGTCAACGACCATATTAACGACAATCGAGTTATTTTACTTTAGCACTTTTTATATTATCAAAAAATCAAAATTATTTTATTTGACATTTTGATTTGATGTAAATTGATGATGATTTGAGTGATGTAAATTAATTATAGAAACGCAGTTCAGTGCGGTGTTCGTAGTCCACGAAGGACATTGTCATCACTTACATTCTGCCATTATGGTTAAGAAAACGTAAATAAATACTAAACACACACAAAAACCTGAGTATAAACGATAATAATTAACATACAATTAAATTCTAACCTACTTAGAATAATATTCGCGAACATTACACACATAAAGCTAATTTTTTTAAAGAAGTCCCTATATGACAACTATACCATAATGAGTAATCAAAACAAAATTAAAATAACGAATTCAAGAGTTACAAAATCAAGATAATAATAATAAAATAGCGTAACGAGCGCAGGATGCGAAATATATATTTTTTTAAATAATTGCAATGGAAATAATCCAAGGTAGACGTTTAATGTATTTTATTTATTATATATGAAAGCTATATATTTAAAATGAGATATTAATTGCTGTTTCCATCAAAAATTGGTTTTTGATTGAAACAGCAATTAATATTTTTAGCGATGATTATACTTATTGTGGCAACATGCCAACGATATATTTCTTTGGGTGTCTAGCTTCTACAGTTGCTATCGCCATTAATTATTAATTTACTTGTAGAAGCACTGATTGTATAGAAGTTGACACAAAATAATTTCACAGTGCTCAGCCTCACGTAGACAATACTTACATATATTAAATTAAAATAACATATAATAAATACAAATTCAATTCATGTTGTCTATTTACTAATATGCATTAAATACTATGTGTAACGTTGTTTTTTTTTTTGTATAAAATATGTATGCATATCTCGAGATACAGGTTTCGTATAATTTGTACTTTGGCTGATATGATGCTCTTAAATATTGTATTTTAGTTATTGTTCTATTGAAATGCTCCACAGTCCTCTGTAATTGAGTTTTATACCCATTAAACTTTCGTGTTTTATTAGTTATTCGTGTTTTCTTATTTTATTCTATACCACATGAAATAAAGTTTTTTTTATGTACTGTGCAATAATTGTTTTTGTTAGTAGTTTTTTATATTATTAATAGTAATTGTTCGGTGTTAGTTTAAAAATTTGTAAATGAATAGCGATAAGCTAATGTAAGTTGTCATTAACCTATAATAGTTTTGTTTTGAAAATAATAACATTAAAGATAAAGTAAAAATATATATCTTATCCATAACTCGACTGAAACTGATAAAATGAAAGACCAAATATTTGTACATGATCTGATTCACTGATAACAATTTACAGCGTATATTATATCTTTCATTTGTGTTTATATTATATTTGTAACATCGTCGGCCATTATAGTCGGTAAGTAAGATCAGGCGATATTGTAGACTGCATCTATTTTACATAAAACATTATATTCTTCAATTGTATCTATGAGATGGTTCATTTAAGATTCAGTACGTTCGTAAGTACGTTCCATTACAGGGCTCAAAAGAATAAACCGTTGTTCCCAAATAAAAATAAAAAAACTTTCACCACAATTACTTTGTTTGTTTAGCTTATGCTTAGAACAAAGTACCTTTATTATAGTAACAAAATCTTTTCTGTTCAAGGAAACGTCCTGTAACAGGAAAGACTTTGTCTGAATTGACTGATTATAGATTAGATATAACGATACATCTATAATCAGTCAATTTTATGATATCACTATGCATTCATTATAATTAAGTTTAAACACGCTTTGAAACTGCACGTTTAGATTTTTATAGTAAAAGTGTATTTATGTCCCATTCAACTTCATGAATCGATTTTGACTGAATGAAAGTCAATGAATGGATGATTGAAATATTAGCTATAACCCATTAAAAATAACAATGACAACGTACAGCAGTATATTAAGTATTTTAGGGGGAACAAATGAATAATATGAACTAATAATAGTATTTTAAATAAATACACTATATAATTGATTCAGTTCACTAGAGCTCCTTGTGAAAGAGTTCGTCCAGGGTAGTACTGCCACCTTATCTATTTCTGCCGCCGAATAGTAATGTCAGCATTACTGCATTCCGGTTTTGAAGGGAAAGTGTGTTGGTGACATTACAGGCGCATGGGACTTGTCAACTTATGTCTCAGGGTGACGGGCGAAGATGTAGTGCCCCTCAGCTCTTTGCAATTTAAAGTTCTGAGTGGCACTGCAACTTTTATGGACAGACGTGTCGCTTACTATCAGGCGCACGACTTGTTCGTCCCGTCACTTGATATTATAAAAAAATATATGAATACACTAGGAACCAGGCTCTTGCCTCTCCGCCTCTAGAGCAAATGTAAGAAGACGAGCATAAAACAAAAAGACAGGTGTCCTCTTCATAAAATAATTTTGAAGAAACTTCACGTTAACAAATGTTTAATGTGCAAAATATAACAATTCAAGAAATGTTTACGAGACGTGTTTCATTGAAATTTCGCTAGGTGTACATACATTGTGTATGTATTAGTGTGCTAATACAGACGAATTTTCACATTTAATTGTTTTATAAGTTATAAATCTAATGGTATTATTTCAGAGAGTGCCGCCACCAACGACTTGAAGATTTGTCGCATCAGCAGATATTTTGGAAGACCTCGAGGTGGCGACGATGTCTTTATACTTGTTGAGAAAGTTAACCGAAGTACGTATCTAAATAACATATTTACATGGCTTTTAAATAAAGGATATTTCATAATGAACTATGCTTAAGTAACTTATTAAATCGAGAGATATATTCAAATTCAAAAATATCTTTATGTCATAGATGAGATGACTAGACTTGAAATCGTCACTCTGATAAACAATAATATATGTATAATACTCATTATGAGGCTAATTCTCCTGAAAATAATGTAAACTTTAGCTGCCTTCGTGGCCGAACGGTTACCATGCTGGACTGCCACGCAGAGATCCTGGGTTCGATTCCCAGCCCGGGAGAAATATTTGTATGACCTACATTTACTTCTCTCGTGAGTTTGAGTGTAATTTGGGGTTGACTGTGGTAATATGTGTGTTTCAATGGCACCCGTAGCACAGAGTTTCCCTAATGCAGGGCTATTAAAAAAAATAATAATAAAAGTAGTAGTTGGCCTTTATAAATAGACTTTAGTTTCTTTACTTTTTTAGTTTATTAATTATTATGATGTAACGGAACGGAATTCGTGGGTCTGGTGGTAAGCAACGCGCCAATCCATAACAGTTGCGGTGTCAATCAAACTTTAAATCGCAAATATCGTCACCCTGTGCCTGTAATTTCACCAGCTCCTTCAAAATCGGAATGCATTAATGTTTGCATTTCTGTTTGGCGGCAGAAATAGGTACTGTACTTCCCTAGACGAACACTTTCGCAGTTCTACTGATACTAAGTTATTGACATTTATCATATACAATATTTATTTCAATCATCAAATTATCATACATAGAAACAACGTGAAAGGTTTGAACAGTACGGTGTAAAATTAATTATATACAGCCTAATACATTCTTCTGTGTTTTACTCTAAAAATAAAAACAGTTGGCTGAGGGAACAGTTGTTTGTTTGCTTAACTTGTACTTAATTTTTTTTGTAATTTACTAATGACCAAACAAGAAATTAAAGTAAAGAAAGTCAGATTAGAACGTACACCGTGTTGCAGAATTATTAATGAATTAATGAATGTTGAATTGTGTGAGCTAAATTATAATGATATTCCATTACATTTAACGCCGAAAGAATGATTATATAAACAAAACACAGGGATTAAAATTTATAATATTTTGACGACCTGAGTAGCATATACTGAAGTATATATACCGAAGAACAAGTTCCCGGGTTCGATTCTCAGTAGGGCCAAATTCCAAAATTAACTTTTGTTATTGCTTGTAGTCCCGGTTGAGTAGCCTACACTGAAGTATATATACCGAAGAAGAAGTTCCCGGGTTTGATTCTCAGTGGGGCTAAATTCCAAAATTAACTTTTGTTATTGCTTGTAGTGCCGGTTTGGGGGTTCTGGGAAGTGCCCCCAAGAGACCTCTGTTGCTTTGGTACTCATGTTACAGGGGATTCCCTAAGTACACCAAGTAAGACCAGGCAATTGGTGTGCTTGTTTCGCATCACATTATTATTATTATTATTTTCGACTAACACTACGTATAACTACCAATATTATATAGCTAATAGCATCTCCTACAACACTGCGGACATAACTTACAATTTTAACAAAAATTGGATTATTGTTTACAACACGAAATTCTGAATGGAACTGTAAATAAAATTTTTCACTCAAAATTCTACCACTACTCTATTAAACCTCGCTCAGCTTCAATAACTAAACTTAATTACTTTCAGCGAGAGGCTGCCATCCGTACTAAGTCACGTTCATATATGCTAAAGGGCCGACGTGAGAGAATGATCGCGATTTTGAGATGTGCTGCCAGAAACTACGTTATTTTTATCAGCTTTTGCGAAGGCAATGAAACCATTGACCATGAAACTTGGTATTTGTTTATACTGTGTTTCAGATCTATACTATATATATATATATATATATATACTTATTCAATTTCAGTTAATACCAATCACGTTCACTTTAAAATTAAACGCACACTGTGGTTTCACGGTTTCATTTAAAAATAACTAATAAAAAACAAATAAATAAAACAGTATTTAATAATAGGTGCTATATAAATACCATCATATTATATTTTTGCAGTGTCATTTCTTTGAAATTGAAATAAGCGTTTTTAAAAACAAACTTTGAAAGAGCGTTCGTTAAATATAATGTTTTTATTGGTTCAGTAAAACAGTTAAGCTAAAATAAAATCCTGTCCTTTTCTTACTAACTTCTAACTAACTGATGATATATTGAAATTAAATATAGTTTCCGTTTGCCCAAATCGGCACCGATATCGTAACTATTACAAAAAATACTTTTGTTTTCTGCGAAAAAGGGAATACACCATCGTTTGTTTCCTTTTCCATGCTTTAAATAAAAAGAAAGCAAGCATTTATTTCACGAGTTGTAAACTGTTGGTAACATCTGTGCATTCTTTGTTCTTTACAATGTTAGTATTATTTCACAAAGAAACAAATAGACGCGTAAGCGCCAAATCTATTTAAAAAAGTTTGTACACTCACTATAGTTTTCATCAGAGGGACTTCTTTAGGAACTTAAAACAGTCATTGATTTATTTCCAAGTTCCAGCTATTGTTACGAAGGCAACAAACATGTGTTGTAGGTATGCGTGAAATATCGAGCGGGCCTGATAACATGCGCGAACTTATTCTTTACTGGAATTTACAACGTGGACGTTATTAATAAACTTGATACGCTATCCACAATATATCGTGTCTTTATACCGTTTAATTATTTGTTTTTCCATTTATTAATTAATAGAAAACTTTACACGTAAAATTTATATACAATACAAATTTATATACAATACCAAAAGATCTCAAGGAACATCGCAGCATGCAATTCGCACGCGAGTGAGTAATTTTCAGGTTGGTTTTCTCTACCAAGTTTCGGTGGCAATTTTTGTTATTTGAATCTTCTAGCATGTTATGAAGTATTACTAAATATTTGAGTGTAATATCCTGAAATATTATTTTATATTACGTATAATTTTCTCGAACACTGCCTCCTTAGCCAAACGGTTACCACGCTGGTCTGCCACGCAGAGGTCTCGGATTGGATTCCCGGACTGGAGAAATATTTATTTTACTACATTTATTTCTTAAGTTGTCTATGTACGTGTCCATGGCACCCGCGGCACAGAATTTCGCTAATGCTAGGCTCTGAGATGCGCGTTATTTATTTATTTTTTATTTAAAACTATCCTGAAAATTATCCGTATACTAAGTGCGTAGTAAGAAGTAAGCGAATTGCATTGTAACTGCAATATAACATTTATAATGCACTCGAAAGTCAGTTTGTATTCAATACGACTGCATACCTATTTTTCCATTGTAGTCGGTTGCGTAATAATCGACAATGGACCAAATGGATGCCGATCGGTCGGACGTCTTAGGTAGCTCGTCTAACCACTTTGGAAATCACGCTCTAGATTCCCAAAGTGATTAGACGTTAATGGGGGTGATGAAAGTGCATCCAAGTAGAATAATCCACATTACGCGTATAGTACATATGTACTTACCTACGTATGTAATACTTTATTAAGATGGACACAAATTACCTACAAAGTAAACATTTCACAACAAGATATAGAGCTATGTTCGGTTAGATAAATGTATAACCCTTTTTTTATAAAGTTTATACAGTTAAACTTATTAAAGTGAATATGACTGTGTCGGCTGTCAAAAACTCATTTAAAGTTGATGTATTTGTAAAAGATTGCGTAAAAGAAAGGCAAAAAGGATCTACGAAAAAAAGAAAACCTGACACGGTTTGCTTGAAGTCTTCAGTTCGAATCTCGCCGGATCGAAGGATATTTTTCTAAGTGTTCGATCTTTGTATTAATAATTATAATAAAGATGATTATCATAAAATTCGTTTAAATCGTTAAGATAAAAATAATGTAAAAAAGAACTACAACGCTAATTGAAAAAAAAATACCAGTTAGATTCTGTACTCAAGTTTTCTATATTTGCTCTTAAAACTAAGATTTTAACATAATTCAGGAAACTCGCTCGATTTTAATCTTATCTCAAAAGACGCCATAAAGTCCGTTTTAGTTACGAGAAGAGGTTCGATCACTTGTATGCTATATGTTTACTTTTTAATTAATTACTGTGCGTGCCAGTATATTAATTTTAAGAGAAATCAAAGTGCCACTGTCAACCTGATTTCGTCTTGTAACAGGGGGTCTATTCTCGATCTCCTTCCGACATCCGTCCGAAACAATTTCTGTCAAATAAGTAATATTCGACAAAATTAAAAGACAAGTATACAATATGAAGCTTCATTCGCATCACGCGTCTTTTCATTTGGTCAAGTATTGCTTATTTGGCAGTAATTATTTCGGACGGATGTCGGACGGACATCGAGACTAGACCCCCTGACCCTATTGATTGCTAACGTTTTGGCTAACTTCCGAGTGAACACGATGACCTATACGTTCACTGCGTTCATCAAACTTGAAGTTTGTTCAGATTCACTTGAAACTGGAGGTTTTGTCCCCAATTTTAAGGAAAATTGTTACAAGGTATTGAATAACAATAGGGCTTACTCTAATGAGTAAGCCCTATTGTTATTGAATAACTTCATAAATTAAATAATTTCAGTCAGAAGTTTTTGCGTAGCAGTGAACTTATAATAGGAAAAACCCATTCGCATGAAAAATACTGATAATTTCCATACATAAAACTGCGATAATAGCCGTAACATTGCCATGATTTATAATTGGTTGGCCAGAATTTCCTACCAAATTTTCCCAAAAATAACCTGTGTTAGTGTTCTCTATGCTCACCTGGGTAAGTATCACCACCCTAATTTCTTTCGCATTGCAGCACTGCTGTGTACAGCATTGAAAGGATTGTTAATGCTTACAAAAATGGCTTTGGTGCTTACAAAATTCTGCTATTTGCACACGAGTACACAGTATACGTGTTACCTAATGACGCGAGAACTATAGAATTGATTGCCAAATTGCCAACGATACTCATAGTACGTTGTGTGTTGCGGCACTTTACATTTCATCCCATGGCAAGACATAATACATCACTCCTCACGCAGTTAACTGAACTGTTAGAAAGGTCATAGAAACGATGGCATCTGGCGTCGTAAATTACATAAGTGGAATTTATTTTTTCTACATACTTACACTTGAAAAATCTCGGCACGGTCTTGGTTCATAATGTAGCAAAAAGTTTGTAAAATATTTCTATTTGAACAACTGCGCCGACTTAAAATAAACGCCACGTGCTTGAGAAAACTTTAAGGTGTTGGAAATAATTTATTTCGATTTATGATAATGTTTTTTGTTCAGGTGTAATGCGTTTATAGTTCTCAATTTTATTTAAAAGAAGTTGCAGAATTGCACTTTTCTGTGGTAAATGTTACATCCACTCGTTAACAATTTATCTACTTGGTACTTGGTGTCCGCAACTCGACGTCAAGGCGCCTATTTTGCGTGTGGTGGGTCCTACTCGTGCCACCCAAGCTTCTCCAGAAATCTCAGCAGCTTTCTCGGTTTGCTGACTTCGGGGAGCGACCTCGGCACACACACGCCGGAGCACTGTAGTAGGAAGTGCATAGCCGTTTCTTCCCCCTCCATGCACGCTCTGTATAAAGGGCTGTCTGTGATATCTAAATTGAAAAGGTGTTTATTGTATGGACCATGACCCGTTAGGGCAGTTAGAGTGCGAAGCTCTTGCCTTTTTAGTTTGATTAAAATTCGAGATAGACTGGCGTTGAGCGTTGGGAGTGCTTCCCTCGCCTGTCTACAAACCGTAAGGGTGGTCCATGTGTTATTATGTGAAAATGTAGTACCTTTATGTATAGTTGTTCTGGACCATTGGCAGGGGAAAGACACTATGGGTCCTGGTCCTACAGCATCCGTCTCCGACCCTTTTCTGGCTAGTTCATCTGCTAAAAAAAAAAAGGTCATTACTACGTGAGCCGCTATGTCTGTGTCTATTGCCGAATCCAATCAATGCCAAATGATTGGTTAAGATTTAAGGAAATATTTATTTATATAGTTTTAAACATCAGTGGCCGAACAGTTACCATGCTAGACTGCCACGTAGAGGTCCCGGGTTCCATTCCCGGGCCGCGAGAAATATTTGTATGGCCTACGTTTGTTTCGTTAGTGAGTTTTGGTATAATTTGTGGTTGTCTTAAGTGTGTGACCAATGGCATCGCGATACAAGGTTTCCCTAGCGTGTACGTTGTTATTATTATTACTGTTATTATGTTTTTTAATTAATTAGGATTTGCAATATCCATATGGGAGTGTTGTATATTAATTATATAATCTCAGAAATAAACGTCGTCGATTGGCAAACACCAATCCCACAATATTTCTTAATATGTTAAGCTTAATTAATAACTTTGGCCGTGAAAATATTCTAAGAGAAATTGGTTTTTAATCGTGATGATGTCACCGGTATTAAATTTTGACATAAATGCATTATCTGTAGAAAAAAAATCGGTTATTTAACATCTGAAATCGTATGTAAAACACAGCTGGGTTTACATGAACTTTTGAAATATCTTTATTTTAATTGTTACCTTTCCTCATTTACATAGCGTTCAAATTTGCAGTTTAGATAATGTGACAGTTTATATAGCTATACGTATGTGGCTGATTGTATATGTGGGAAGTGGTTTTTTTTGTAAAACATCTAAATCATTGATAAAAATTATTGCTTTGATCTAAACCAACGCTCCTGTTAGTGTGTATTTAAGTCGGTGTGGTCAGCCTCTTATCTTCTTCTTTCTCTACTCGTTTCCTGCCTAAGTAAGTAAGCTTCTATGCAACACGGGGCGAAATGATTGGCTTTATTATATATTGTAAAAATATTCGTATATTGTAAAGAAACGTCTATAACTGTAGGAGTTTGCCGTGTGAGTGACTCGATACAATTCAAAAATTGTTACCACAAAAAACATTAAACGACTGCGCCGCTCTCATTCATCGATGTTGTGCATACTTTCCGGTAGGTGTCATCACCGTGTGCGCGTTAACATCTCCCTAAAACATGACCAACTATTCACGAGACTCGTTACTAGCGATTAAGTATTGCTACAATATACTTTTGTTTCAGAAAACATAATGATCCGTTTCTACGAGGTAAATGAACAAGGAGATGAAGTTTGGTCTGCCAACGGTAACTTCTTACAGAGTGATGTACACCATCAATATGCTATTGTATTCAGGTAAAATCAATAAATTGTTTTTTAGACTTGGAAAAAAAGAAACGATTACTCTAACATTTGTAAGCAGGGCCCTACCACGGGTTTACTGTGACAATTGTCGCTAACGACTGCGTAAATTACTTCACATTTTTTCTTTGGCAAATTATACAGTGCCCCTAGTGGTCGCAAAAAGAAACAACATTTTGTGTACAAACATTTTACGCGGTCACTGTAATCTCATGGTAGAGCCATAGATTTCGGTGTTTTTTTTTTTTTTTTTGTTGAAAAGGGGTACCTCAGTAATGGTCCCATCCAAATTTGAAGAAAATATTTGGGAATGAATCCGATTTATTGGATTTCACCTACTTTCCATTAACCGATTTCAATAAAACTTGGCAAATAGATATAATTGCACAAACTTTTGAGGTCGATTTTTTTATATATAAAGAAGTTATAATTATTTTTTATATTATTAAATTATTTTTGATGAATAACTGAATTATTAGGAATTGATATTATTTTTTCGGATCTAAATCGCGTATACTCCTTTTTTCAAACAAACCAAATGCCGGAGTAATCGTATAACATACATACAAAAGATATACAGTCGAATTGAGAACTTCCTGCTTTTTTAAAGTCGATTAAAAACCTGTGCTATGAGCAGAACATCCAGAACAGAACCAATTTAGAAAACGTCGTTCTCCGAATTTTTATTATATTATTATTTTACTTTGTACACAGGACACCGCCGTACAGAGACCCACAAATCTCCAAAGATGTGAAGATATACATTGAATTAGTTCGTCCCTCTGACGGCCGGACTAGTGAGCCCAAAGAGTTCGTATACAAGGCTAATCAAATGTACAAATGCAATAAGAGAAAAAGGTTCAACTCTCCATTCTCCTCTTTGGATAGCTCCTCAGGTAAATAATCTTCTTTAAGAGTCGATAAAACTTCAAATGGCTTTGGTTGATTCCGCATAACAGTGAGTATTGAATCAATCACTTTGTCATGTGCGAGATACGAGTTAAAAGACATGTCGCGTGCCTTCCGGATAATTATCGCACCGTCTTGGGAATTCCCGTATCGTTAATAATTTGTACACAAATGACATAAAGTTAAATATATTATGTACAAATTCGTTACAAAAATTCGTTTCACGGCAATGTCGCTTTACTCTAAAACTTATTTAGTTCCATAGAACTAAAACTGAACCGTAAAGAAGTACTGTATTTGATTAAGACGAACGACTTTACCAAGCTTTAGCAAACAAACATTTTCCGCTAATCGTCTTATTAACTAATTGGGCATTCGTAAAGATTATTTATTTTTTGTTTTTTTCTTTTTCTTCAAACATATTGTTTTATCCAATTTTGATGAATGAATTATAAATTGAATTGTATTAGTTTGACTTTATTACATTATGCTTTTTTGTAATTTGAAAATTTTTATGTTACTTTTAACATATTTCATAATTGTAATAATTAATGACATAACATATGTACGAAATTAATAATTAAATAAGTTATTGTCATTGTAGACCCCTTGCTGGGTTTATGTAGTGGATCTTTTATGGAACACCTTTATTAATCCACAAGAAACAATACACATAATATATAAAAAGAATCCTAATGCGATACGACTAGCCAAGGGAATCCTCCCTTGCATTCGCTTTTTCGCCATTCGCCACGCTGCACCACTATATTCCAAATTGTTTATTTTTGTTATTACAGGTAGCTCCATCAAAAGTATTATTGAAGTGCCAGCCACAGTGGAAATGCTTGATGTAAGATTTTGTTATAATTATTATTCGTTTTTTTAATATTTAATTAATAACATAATTTGTTATTGTTATTATGTCACAGAATCGTGAGCGAATGGATGAAATGAATAACATTCCAGTATACCAAATTAATGTAAGTGACCAGTACAGTGAACACGTAACTAATCTATTGTAATACTTATTTAAACGAACTAACGTTAGCTTGAAAATAATAGGGGTTAAAGTATGAAATTGCCGATTTGTACTGAAAATCTAAATTGTTTATTTTTTAAATTTTTAACAAATTTATTTAATCAAAATAGTTGCCATTATTATCTATACATTGCTGCCATCTAATGGGAAGGTTATTAATGCCTTTGCGATAGAACTCCGACGATCTAGACTGCACAAACTGTGTGAAAGCATTTTGTACTGCCTCCTGGGAAGAAAACTTCTTGTCACGTAGATAATTGTCCAAATCACGAAAAAAATGGTAGTCCGTTGGAGCAAGGTCTGGTGAATACGGAGGATGACGAATGGTTTCTAACTGCAGTTCCTGAAGGGTCAAAATGGTTTCTCGTGCTGTGTGAGGTCTCGCGTTGTCGTGGAGCAATAATGGTGAAGATCGATTCATGAGTCGGGGCTGTTTTACTGCTAGTTTTGTCAACATGGTTCGGAGTTCGGCACAATAGACATCTGCCGTTATTGCTTGACCAGATCGGAGAAAACTATAGTGAATAACACCATGCTGAGACCACCAAACAGTTACCATTACCTTTTTATTGGTAAGTTTTGCTTTAGGACACTGTTGTGGCATTTGACCTGGGGTCAGCCATTGCATTTTTCTTTTCCGGTTATCATAAAGAATCCACTTTTCATCACATGTTACAATTCGATCCAATATTCCTTCATTTCTGTACCGGTTCAACAAGGCAACACAAGTTTCAACACGCGTTTCTTTCTGCAGATCAGTCAAATCATGAGGCACCCATTTTTCGTATTTTTTTATTTTATTGATTTGACGCAAGTGAGTCAATATTGTGGGTAAGGTAACGTAAAACCATGCCGCTAATTCCTGGGTAGTTTGACTAGGATCGGCTTCCACTATCTCTCTTAATTCATCGTTATTCACCTGTGTGGGCGGTCTTCCTCGTGGCTCGTTCTTTAAGTCGAAATTTCCATCACGAAAGCGTTTAAACCAAAATCGCACGGTGCGTTCATTAGTAGACCCCTCTCCAAACGCAGCATTGATATTGCGGGCTGTTTCTGCCGCGTTAGTTCCGCGTCGGAACTCGTATTCAAAAATCACTCGAATTTTCGCAGTATCCATCTTTCTTGTCTAAATTGAATAACAAAAACAATTGAAAGTCGATATTCAAATGTTTCAAATTTAAAAAAAAAAAAAATCACAGAAACCATTTGAAAAAAGTTTCATTCGAAAACCTCAAACCATGAAGATTCTATGAAAATTCAAAGAACCTATTGCAATAAAACGGCAATTTCACACTTTAACCCCTAATATATATATTTTTTAAGTATATAACAGATGACATGGAACGACAGACATAGAAGAAGAATAAAAAACTAGTTATAAAACCTTCTTCTTAACATTCCCTCTTTTCTTCACTGGGGACCTATTGCTTCCATTAGATAGAGATAGCCTTGGCCTGTACAGTGGCTTTGTCATCATGTCAGCTATATTCTTCTCCGAGGGCACTTTCTGCGCTCATATGCTCACTTTATTTTTTTGTAAACATTCTCGAAGGAAAAAGTGCCGCCTCTGAACGTGCATGTGTTTCGTGAGGTGGTCCTTTCTATAGGGTTCATACTAAGGTTTAGTGCAAACTCACTATCAATCAGAAACGCTTTGTTTGCGCCTCCATAGCTATGTCCTCAATTATTCGCTTCAGCCACAGTATTTCGCGAGTAGCTTCACTGTTATCTGACACTGACTTCGCCAGGAGATAGCTACACTGGAAAACACGCAAACCATCCCTGATGTTGGTCGTCCTGTGATTGGATCACTTCCAAGATCAGCATCAGTATTCATAATAATGGATTTATTATTACCTCTGTATGTATGTAATGCCGTACTCCATTGTACCTCTAATGTGGCGTAATGTGTTAAAATATTCTTTTGACTTTTAGTACTTGTAGGGTTCTCGAGACCACTCCAACTGCGAATGCTATATCTGGTCTTGTACCTACCATAAGATACGATAAAGCACCTACTGCTTCACGATATGGGAACTGATCTTGGTTCTCAATTGTCGTTACTCTTTGAATATCCTTTACAATCGGGGTTGGTGCGGGCTTGCACTTTGTCATACCAAAACGTTGTAAAACTTTTCTCGCATTCTTTCTTCTGATCTATTTTGTTAGATCCATCGTCATTACACTTTATTTCTATGCCAAAAAAGTATTACTCAGGCTTAGTGGTAATTTTGAATCTTTTTCTGAACTCTTCGTACAAAATGCCATAGAAAAACGTTTGCCAACCAGTTGACATGTCAAATTGTCCTAGCTTCATTTTCTCTTTAGCTGCTATACTCAGCAAGGCTTATAGTTCTTATAGTACATTTGAATGTCTTTGGTTCAAAATTTGCTGGCTCCATTTTGTCGGCAACATTCATAACATAGTCGTTGAACTTAGTAGGGAGTTTGATTTTATCTCTCGGTCTCAGTGTCCTCAGCCCCTACTTCATGTGCAGAGAGATAATCGTCACTTTCTAACTCTGTGTCAACTTCTCTGCGTGAATCAATGGACTTACAAAGATGTAATCTTCATCATTCATACAACTTTCATCGTTTTCATCGCCGTAAACTGTTTCTTCATTAGATTGGTCTTTTACAGATGTCTCCGGTAATGAACCTTAAAAAGGTGCTTGTATGAAAATTTCGCTTTTTGGTGAGAGGGTCTTCTCTTGAATAGAAACGTCTCTTGACCTTACTAGTGTGTTATTTTCTTTACACCAAACTCTATATCCATCATCATTATCGTAGCCAATCAAGATTCCTCTTAATGCTTTCCTGTCCATTTTCTTTCTATTGCATTTTGGAATATGGGAATACCAGGTGCTTCCAATGATTCTCAAACGTTTGATAATATATATTTCTTTTAAGTGTATAGCAGATGACATGGAACAACAGAAATAGAAGAAGAATAAAAAACTAGTTATAAAACCTTTTCTTCACAATACTTTGTTGATAATTATACTTTACGTCGTTTGCAAAGAGTAATTTTTTGTAATAATGACAGTTTTCATTATAGCTTAACGTGTATCTATTTGAAATTAACTATATTTTACCATTTCGTACGATTTTTTTTAATCATTGTTACCTAAGTGCTTATAGTGGGATACCGTTGACAAAGCCAGTTTATAGCATGCTGATTTATGGACTAGCAGGTAAACTGTAAGACTAACTTATAGTTAAACACACCCAACTAAAAATACACTAGGATATATACCGCTATATACTGCCCTCTTCTACAAAGTTGATGTAGACCGCGTGCTCTTCGCCCTCAGTACCGCGTCGCGCGACTCTCGCCGGCTCCTTGTACGGTGCACACGGAAGCGATAAGAAGTCGGCACTCTGTTTTCTTACTACTTATTTATTCATTCGTATAAGCTGCGAAGAATCTGTTAGCCGATACCTCAAGAATGCTTTTATAACACCGAATATTGTCAGTAGTGGTTTATGGTCTGTCCTTACTACAAAGGTACGGTACGGACCGACCATATAGATACTAGTAATACAGTCTGGCACCGTAAATGATTGCTGTAGCTTTCTGAATTTGTGTGTATTTTTTCTCAACCGACATTGGTGTTCAGGGGGCATACGTTGTATAGTATAATAAAGCAAGTAGTGTAACTCCATACAAAAGTAGTAACGCGGCTTGTATCTCGCGGTGCACTCGTGTTGCACAACGGTCACACGCTTCGCTCAGTGTTAAACTTTATTTTCAAATGTCGTATGTACCTAACATATAAAATCTAATTTCATTTCTATTTCATAATCGTATCATAGTATATAAATATCTATAGGTAACCACGAGAATACTGTGACGAATACTTATTTTTGTATTCACAACATATGTACAACTAAAATAGTAATGTGACAACCCTACGCTCCAAGTGACACGTGTAGGCTTTAATGACACGCTGAACAGGCGGGAGTTGCACTACTTGTCGTATTATACCAATTTGAGAAATGATTTCAGCGACACCTGTGAGTGATCTGTCAATGGTTAAAATTAGCATTGTGTTATCAAAAGCGAGAATGTTTTTGTTTTACCTCACCTGCTGTCGAATCCGGCATGTGTCAACCACATGCAACTTCAAAGGCGCGGCACAAGTAGCTCAAACAAGAGTAGAAATCGCGACATACACCCGAGCCTATGCCACCACGGCCATAGGCGCGACCCGTGAAATCACAGGCTATATTTGCCTATAGTTGCCTTTGAAGGCATGGCGCGCGCACGTAACTCGTTCAGCAGTCAGCTTCTGCTAGTCCTGCGCAAACAGCTGTATCTTCGTATTTTTATTTTTATTTATTTGGATTGAAATAACCAACACAATACGTATAAAGGGCGTAGCTAATAAGATACAATAAATATATAAAAAGCATTGCACTTATAGGACGCCAGAGCATGCTAGTAATAACAAACATTATAATATAAAAGTGACGGGACTTACTCGCGTAATATTTTAGTCGGAAGCGGTCCGACTAGTTTCGACCATAATCGATGGTCTTCTTCAGGGGTTGAGTGCAACGTTCGCGACCGCGTCACGTCTAGCACTGCGCGCTGCGGCTCACTGCGCGCGCGCCGATGACGCATTCCGCAGTGGGGAACTCGGGAAGCTGATACGTTGCGTCAGCGCGTCCTGGAACTCTTCTTCGCTACTGCTGTCCGTAGGATTGTTGTCTAGCACACAGAGCTCACCACGTCGTTACCACTAAAATCTGCAGCTGCATACCGAGCCCCATGAAGACACGGCTTCCAGGTCGGTGGCAAGCTCCAACCTACTTATTTCAATAGCCTCTCGGATTTTGCGGGGCACAAAATACTTCTCCCGCGCTAAAACCTTAGCTTTATCAAACCGAATGTAGTGACCAGCACCGGAGCTCAGAAACTGGTCTGGCACCGCAGATCCATTGACATCTTGGTTCTTCATGGATCTCAGCACATCTCAGCACATTCCGTCTCGTTTCGCCGACGTAACACTTGCCACCGTCACAGGGAACCAACCATGTAGACACCGGGGACCCCCAGACCATCCGAACGGATATGATTGGAAATTGGGTTTTAGCGCAGGAGAAGTATTTTGTGCCCCGCACAATCCGAGAGGCTATTGAAATAAGTAGACGACCAAATTTTAATAGAGACGGAGGCAGGAGCTTGCCACCGACATGGAAGCCGTGTCCTCATGGTGCTCGATATGCAGCTGCAGATGTTAGTGGTAACGATGTGGTGAGCTTTGTGTGCTGGACTGTTCTCGACAACAATCCTACGGACAGCAGTAGCGAAGAAGAGTTCCAGGACGCGCTGACGCAACGTATCAGCTTCCCGAGTTCCCCACTGCGGAATGCGTCATCGGCGCGCGCGCAGAGAGCCACAGCGCGCAGTGTTAGACGTGACGCGGTCGCGAACGTTGCACTCAACCCCTGAAGAAGATCATTGATTATGGTCGAAACTAGTCGGAACGCTTCCGACTAAAATACTACGCGAGTAAGTCCCTTTACTTTTATATTATAATGTGTGATAACCGTGTTAGTTTTCATAATAAAAATAATAACAAACAGTTCATTTATATATAGACCTTCAAATTGATGTAGCAATGGGTTAGAAATTAATATAAATTCTTAATATATTTATTGGTTTTAATTTTGAGCAAATATAAATCTTAATATTATTCTCCCATCTCCATGTCCATTATAAATTTATCTAGTAGGGCCTCCTCCGATCTCGGATCCACAATGTCTTGCCAATTTCCTAATCCTGACAGCACATTGAGTATAAGTGTAAGTCTCGCCTAGCCATTGTGTTGTCGCCTAGAAGGTTGATTTCGTCCTGCTTCGGTATGCAGTGGCCATTGAGGAATTTTATGAGGGCTTCGTAGCTTAATTCTTCTACCTCCCTCGGCAACGCCAAGGCACTCCGAACTTGTAAATTGATTCACTCAGCGCACTCAGTAATATTGGTCTTCGTTGGACCGTCGCTATGTCGGTATCATTGTTTATGTCGCTAGCGATAACACATTGATTAATAGCTGTTAGTGCTCGAAAGGATACCAAACTTGACTCTCGTCGACATTTTTACATAAAACGCTAGTTCGCATGTCGTCACGTGTTATATACGACAGTCCGAGCCGAATGCCGTTTGTTGTACATTGATTTATTGACAGGCAGGTCAACGCTAAGGCGGACGCAGCCCGAAAACATGTAGACAAATGATACAAATAACAAATTTGTATAAACCTTTGTCTGGGGACTGCTGTAAGTTTTACATCCTTTATAAGTGATGATAAAATTACAGATTCCACCTGTACCAACGGTGCAGCCGACAACGAACAGCGACCTAATAGCAGATGCTTTATTGTACGGCACGGATCCACAACCCGTCAGCGAAAGCTCCATGATGTCCAGTCCCATGTTTGGTCAGCCTAACATTCCAGAACCACCCATCATACAACTCAATTCCTCTGAATTGGAAAGGTTGATTAACCACGACCCGCATTTGCCGTCTGAAGAGAGGAAACGTTTCTGCGAAACTGACTGGACTGGTGAGTACTAAGGCCATGCTAAGGTTTCTTAGAAATTATTTAAGAGAGACTTACTTTTACTATACACGGCGTAGCTTTTACATGTACAGTACAGTACATAGAATTATTAAGGATACTACCTACATGTGAATTCCAATAATAATTTATAGAAGTATATAAATAATGAAAAAAGTGCACTTGATACATCTAATTGCAAATGCATTTTGTTACAGAATATATGGCGTCTTTTGGAGAAAGTATTCCTGATAAGGTATTGTTAAGCACACGTAATGAATTTACTACAGCATTATTTGATGAAATGAAATAATACTATATGTTTTGTTTTCTTACAGTCCAATAGTATGAGTGATTTTATTCGGTCGTCGTTACAGTTAGCTGCCGATGGACCATCAAAGGTAAATTTTTTAACAATGTTACATAGTTACCTAGAAAAGTAAGCGTTGGTTTCTGTATTCGTTTGAGGAAATCTATGTCTAAGATCGAATTTTTAGTTAGCAATAGTAAACAGGCGTAAAGTGGGTTGCCAGTTTTTAATTTGTTTTAGTGAATACCCATTAATAATATTACTGCATTTAACGACCTCGGTGGCTCAACGTTTGCACTGTGGACGCTGCATGCGGAGGTCACCGGTTTTGAATACCGGTAGGACCAATTTGGGAAAATGAATTTTTGACCTGGGTGTTCTGGGAAGTGCCCCGGAGAGAAATCCGCTCTAGTAATCATCAGGGAATTCCCTAGTTTGAGACCAAGCAATTGGTGTGGTTGTCTGGCTCATTACTAGTATATCTTTATAAAAATGATTTTTTTTAGAATCTGAAAAAAGAACCATTGTCACCAACAAAAAGTACAAAAGTTAATGAGGAAAAGAAACTAAACATAGTGGACAAATCCAAGGGCACCAGCGAATATAACGCTTTTTACAAAGCGGAAGACGGTATGGAAGTTAAGAAGGTAATGATTTACAATAATTATTTTTGTCACTAACTATTAATATGAATAAATGAATGAAATGTTATTTATCATTTTTGTCAATACCCGTGAGTCACTAAGGCTTTACTAAATCATTCATAAAAAAAACATTTTAGTCTTGAAAGAATGTGATATTATTTCTTGCAACGTTAAAAATTATAATAACAACACAGAAGAATGGCAATTTTAGGATACCAAATTTCTCAAGACCAATTTCTTTTATAAAAGTTTTCCGAAATTATATACATATTTAGGGCGCTTCAGTAATTTTTAGTTCTTTTATTATGACTGCAAAAGCGGAGCGCTCGTGTCACGACAGTGGCGCTGCAACTGCGCTTCTAAATATTGTATGAAAATTAGTAGTGCTAAATTATATATACAGATCTATAACAACGAAGTGGCAAGGCAATGAATATGAATATGAATAATACATTATACATCGCGCTGCAGGGCACAGGTCTATCCTGGTGGAAAATTATTATATTACGCCTTAGGGCGCCTTCAAATTAGACGCTTGTAGAAGCACTGCAGTGGCGCTACAGCCGCGCCACTACTAATTTTCATACAATATTTAGAAGCGCAGCTGCAGCGCCACAGTCGCACCACGGGCGCGCCCACTTTTGCAGACTAGATATTCTATGAAAATTATTAGTGACGCGGCTGCACCGCCACAGTAGTGCCACTGCAGCGCTTCAATAAGCGTCTAATTTGAAGGCGCCCTTACCGGAATTATACCACTTCCACCACTTTGTGTAACTAATTCTGTACATTGTACAAAAATACGGCGTTATACATAATCCTCACGTCTTTTGAAAGTTTTTCGTTCATGAATTTTACTTTGTCACTTTATTAACTGTATTAAAACAGCTCATACGATAGTTCCGGGATTATTATAATATTATACATGTTATCTCTATGTTTGCCTATCGTAATGTAAGGACAATACTCGGTGTTAAAATTTTTCAAATCAATTACCTATTTTTCCTGGACTAATCTGACTGTTTGCCGATAATAATACCTTATTATTTGTCACTAGCTGGTGAAGGAAATATGCGACATTATCAAGAACAAAGGCGGCTATAAGAAACAATTCCTGAGAAGCAAATTGGAGAGGCTGTTTGAAATGCGACTCTCCAATGGAGATACGTAAGTCCATGCATCCCCAGTATAATCATAAGAATAAATATTTAAATTTGTGTTCACAAAAATCCTTGTCCCAATTGTGATCTATCTAATATATCTTGTTAAGATTTTAGTGCCCGTAATTCAAGGTTCATACAATGATTTTGTAACTCTTTCTGTGTCCGTCCGTGATTTAACTCGTATGTCAGAGATTTTAAATTGTTATTGTATCAATGTTATTCTATACCAAGAGATATCTTGTATATTCATAACGAGGATTAAAAACATTTTTTTCTCCCCAGTTTCCTTCACATGACCCTAAGCAACAACCAGCCGAGTTTTGAGTTCATAATAAAATTGATCCACTCAATACGGATGACGCACCTACTTAATTTCACTAATGACATGCAACAGACCATTTTACACCTCGCCGTCATACACGAGCTGCCTCAACTGGTCTCCTTCCTCGTAGCTAAAGGTACAGTGTAAAAGTTCTTTAGTCAAATAACAAGCCGCTTATATCCAACCATATACATCACACTGATATCCTCCTAGAAGAGGGTGTTCAGTCTATAGTCCATCAAGCTGGCCCTATAGTAGGTTAGACACTTCAGACCTCCAGAGTTATGCGACTATTCTTCTACATATAGGTTTCATTAGTATGCGTTCCATATAAGAGAATACTCCATTGAAATTGAAATTCTTGCTGTTTTTTTTTTTTTCAATTAAAATGACAGTTCATTATGCAACAGTGTTTGCAGGCGATAAATATTCTATCGACTGAATATTCGTTACGCTAATGCAATACATAGCCAAACTTGTTTGATTTGCAGGTTTACAAATTATTGTTATAATCTTAATCTTATTAAGCAATTTAAAAATATTATTTATCTACAGATACTACAATTAAAACCCATAAAGCCTGCTTTTCGTTACAGCTTAAACTATATAGTACATAAAGGATAACAAATTTCAAGTATGCATGTATATACGTATCAGAATTGTATATGTTTCCGTTGCTACTTACACAACTTATATCTGTGATTGTATAATCTGCTATAGGGCAGTAATTTGTATTAGAATTATTGTTCTAATTTATCGAAATCAATTAGTACAAAGTACAGACTTTACTAATTGATTTCTATAGTAATGGACTAACTAAGAATAAAGAAGACGATAACGTTACAATGCCATAACTATTTATATATTTTTTGTAAAATTGTATCTTTTTTCACAATTCATCGATAAAATTATCGACAACAACTGCATTCTAAAAGTTTACCCTGTAAACGTCATTTTACTTCGTCTTAAAAAAACTATAGTTTGTATTAATTAATAGAATCAGGTGTTACTTTGCGGAAATCCATGACAATAGAAATGGAAGTAATTTAATTTGCTACTCCGCAAACCCAGCGGTAAAGGTAAAGGTGAAATCGTGCAAAATAGCTGCGCTTATGTTGGATGTTTTTTCGGGCAGTTAATTTTCCTACCTTCTCTCTGCTTAAAATTAATAAAATAAATTGTAGAAAGCGCAACAACAGTCACAGACGCCACCACTTTTTTTGTTTTGCCTCTTAGGAAGCATTCACAGGAGTTGTTTTTATGTATTTAACCATCATTAAGTGAACCGTGAACCTTCACAGAATAGCAAATTAATTTACTTCCATTTATATTACAGCCTGTATTGTATGTGCTGATCGTATGTTGCGAAGTTATAATAATAATAACAACGCACACACTGAGCCCCGCACTAAGGAAACCCTAAGTCGCGAGTGCCATAGCCACACACATAGACAATCACAAATTACACCCAAACGCACAAGATAAGTAAATGTAGGCCTTACATATATTTTTCTCAGCCCGGTAATCGATCCCGGAACCACTGCGTGGCAGACCAGCATGGTAATCGTTCGGCCACGAAGGCAGTTTCTGCTGAATGTTGAAACCGAACAAAATCTCTTAGGATCGATACCTGTCATTGGACAGAGTTATTTTTATCACGTCAGCCTAACAAAGGTTTAAATAATGTTAATATTACAGCATATTCTCAATAAATCGTTTACAGGTTGCGATCCGATGGTGGCAGACAAAGAGGGAAACAACGCAGTACACTACGCAGTGATATGCAACACCTGTCTCAAGCCGATGCTGGAGGCAATCAAAATCAATCGTATCGCGTGTGACTTGGACGCCTACAATCATGGTAAGCTTGTGTGTTACATAGTAGGCACTTTCTACGGTCGATGCCGTAAAATACCTGCCCTCTGATCGACTATTCGGTTCTGAGTAGATCTATGTGAAGAAACGTGTTAACGAATTTAACATTTAACCTGTAAGCCGTAAAATTCAATTTTAGTTAATGCCCTTATAAAAAACTTTTTAAGCCAACTTGATCTTTAATTACATTACGTAAATACTAAAACCAAAAAGCTGGAATTCTTTTACACTTTTCTGTTGAATGCTTAAGGCTCTCATAACCAAAGACTAGGGAGGTGAGGCATCTTAGTGCATCGACTGTACCAAACGTGTACTTACTGTATCAACGTTTTTTCCAGTTTACGTTTTATAAATTATATAGACCGTAACACTGGGTACGGGTCAAGGTGGGTTTAACAAGTTCAGCAGACCCTGCGGTAATCCACCAAATACAAGTGTGTTAGACCCGTTCTTAAGGCATGATGTGAAACGTTTGGTTTTCGCGGAGGATACGAGTATCGAAGTTTCTGCTTTCAAAGTTGTGTAGTCTAATGTTGAAACGAAACTCACGTACCTCTGCACAGCTGTGAAGCTAGGTACTTTTAGCAATACTTTCATGTAACTTAAAGTTGGTAAGTACCAAATCTAAGTTACAAAAATCTTTTTTCAGTCAAATTTTCTAATTAATGTAAATAAATAGTAAATTATAACAAATTATGTACACTAGTACATAATCATAATTTAAAAAATAGGTAAATAAGTGATCGACGAAGATTTCGTAGCGCTTGGTGAAGCGGGTGGCGGGGTCACTGCCCTTACGTGGTGCCCACAACTTCGAGAAAATTTTGCAAAACTTTACTAGATACAATTAGCCAGAATATTGAACAGAGTAATTTTTTAAATCTTTTTACATGATTTAGCATTCTTTCTATGATTAACTTCTTAAATATGGCGAGAATGCAAATCAACACACTGTATAACATATAATCACAAAGATCAATGATAAAAGGGGCATTAGCATACTCTAAGTTGATTTACAATTTGTGGGTTTGGGGAATGGCGCCAAATGAAAAATCAGTCAATGTCAATTAAAACCTTTCTCATTGTTACATGTGTCACACACAGAAAAGCAAACAGCGCTGCACTTAGCGGCAATCTACAACTCTGAATCAAGCGCGGAACTACTCCTACGCCACGGTGCTAGCTACCTCGCGCGCGACAGCGAGGGTCGTACACCACTACACCTAGCCACTTACGACGATTATCTCGGTGTTACGAAAACGTTATTGCAATTTGTCAAGCCTGTAAGTATCATACCATTTCTTCTAGCAAGGCCTGCTAAAGGTCACGCTCTGTAGACGGCGGTACATACATAGATATACGTTCTGTAATGATAATTCTCAGGTTTGTTTTCTCTGGCCAATTTCGGTGGTGTTTTTTTATTATTGGAGTATTCGAGTTATGAAATATTATTTAATAATTATCATGAAATATTAAATAATATTTCATGATAAAATTCTTGAATATTTAAATAATAAGAATTGCCACCGTAATTAGGTAGAGAAAACTAATCAGAAAATTTTTACGATAACTCTGTTGTCGACTGATTCGAATAGATATCGTACGATTTCTTTTCATTTTTATTCACAATAACCGAATCGAACGTCAAACTGTCGTATTCGAAACCGAACCGAAGTGACGTCACGCCCGTACGATTACTTGTACTTCTCGACCGGCAAAGGCTACATAAGTTATTCAGAACACAGTTATCGAATGTAAGTTACCGAACGTCCTATTGTTTACAAAACAAGAATGTAATATGGAAATCTTTTATTATTTTAAATAAAATCTGGATTTTGTTCAATTTTATTAATTTATTTTAATGTGAGGCTAATCCATTCCCATATCTTAAGCCTTAAAAATGTATATATAAGAATTTCATTTTTCTTATAGACTATATTCGCCGACTAACTCCGTAAATTTTGTTGAATAACGATATTGTATCCGAATCCGAATCGACCGTTTTAAGTCGAATGTTCTGAATAGCTCGGAAAGCGCCCTTCGATTCAAGAACGATATACAATCGAACGATTCGGTTAAGATGTTGAAGAGTTCTGAATCGGGGTCCTGCTTAGCAAGTCGATGGCTTTGTTTAGAGTTCCCTGACAGTCAAATTCGACAGTACTATCAATTAAATATCACGAACGGACTATTAATACATGTAATGATAAATTAATAATTGCCATTTAGGACATGGAATAGGGGAGAGTCTAAAGAAGATATCCAAAATAACAATAATAAATGCCAGGTAATCACGCTACACTTACGAAAATTCGCTTCTAGCTTTCTCGTTGTATGGCAATGTAATATGAACCTTTCTGTTCAATAAAGTAATTAAAATGTTTTAAACTTACTTTTCTAGGATGACATCGACGCAACAGACGGAAGTGGCAACACTGCTCTACAAATCGTTTGCGGGTGCAGTCAGCGACAGAATACGCTTGAAATCGTTAAATTATTATTAGAAAAGAAGGTAAATTTAATACACTTGATGCTAACAGAAGATAGCCATTTGAATATTCTGGTCACATGAACATTGGATTAATAAAATAAAAACAAGAGTATTTATTGTTTTTATTACAAAATTTTCTGTGATTGGATGTTCAATTATGTTAGGTAGTTATCACACTTGTTACCGCGGAATCGGCTTAAACCGGTAAAAAGCTTTATTTCCATGGAATAGGAGCGAAAAAGACGTCGCGCTTATCGCATCCGTGCGGACCGCTAACGCAAAACGGATCTCATTTTTCGCTCTTATTTATTACATGGATATAAAGTTTTTTTCTGACCGACTTAATGCGATTCCGTGTTGATAAGTGTGGTGAATCCCTTACTTGGTTCCATTAGTCAGTGATTATGCGAAATGGGAGAGGTAGGTTGTAGCTCGCACATACGGTAAGGCATTCACTACCTGTACTAAACCATGTCTTCAATACAATCCGCATTCGAGTTCACAATCGAGTCATCCACCAAGGAGAATGGTCCTTAGGACAGTTACACTACACTCATAGACCATAAGCACTACTGAAGTCAGTGGCGGATGACTCGTATAAATACTGGCGTCAATTCTGGTATAATCTTTTGCAAACATAATATAAACACTATTTTTGTTTATCTTACTTTTGTTCATGTTCAGTTGTTATGTTTGTGGAGAGAAATAAATACAATATTATTATTATTATTATAATCTAATATACTTTTTGCAAAAATATTATGTTACATAAATAATATACGTATTCACACCCCTCATGGAACAATGGCATAAGTAGAGTTACGTCAAAAACATTTATTACTCCATTGGATACAGAAAAATATACCGACTTCCTCTTCAATTCTTGCAACTCTGTCGACTAAAATTGTAGATAGAGTTACAAGAATTGGAGAAGATGTGGGTTATATTATTTTGTATCTACTGGAGCAATATACATTTATGACGTAACTCCACTTATGCCATTCTTCAATGAGGGGTGCGAACACCGACGTTAGACGAATAATCGTCCAAAACTTTTTACACATTTTTTTATCATATCCAGGTTTGTTTTTAAAATACTAGCAACCTCACAGGACTAAATTACTAACATCATAAACAACAACTTTTGTTCCGTGACTTTAACAAAACATGATAAATTTACCAAAAATAAACTTTTAGGTTTTTTGTACTATCTGACACTTAGATCTATATTTTTAGTAAGGTAGTTAGTTCAAACATGCAAGCGTCCTCTCCGTCGACTCCCTCTTTTTACACAGAGTTTTTTACACCGTTTAAAGCGATCTATTTAAATATTTTTATTTTTGTAAGAAAGTAAAATCTAACAAATTATCAAAAATTGTTAGTAACATAGTTCGGCGAGGTTGTTAGTATTTGACAAATAGCCCTATATAACCTCTTTTTTTTTTCGCAAAAATACACCTCTCACGCTATTAAATTAAATTTTATTTCTGATATGACATTTTTTTTCGAAATTACTCCATCAGGAGCAGAGTTATTTACTTTTCCTGTAAACTTGATGTTTTGATGCTAAACGTTTTATCGGTGGACCCGATATGTCTAATAAGTATGAAGACTAGTATAGAATACAGAGACGTTGAATTCAATTGAATTAAAATTTCGTATAGCTTTTTAACGAACTAAAGAAAGATATAAATGGACAGAATATACAATAAACTTCATGGTGACATCACGTTTTACGTATTTACGAACGAAGATGTAAATATTTTCAGGCGGATCCATTAACGCACGAAGTGAATAACGAGCCGGCGTGCAAACTGGCACGGGACAAACCGGCCCTGGATCAACTGCTGCGGAAGCACGTACCGCTGATAATCGTCGACGAGGAGATCAAGTCTGAGCCCGAGGACGACTTCGAATCCGCCGATGAAGGGGTAAGTATTATTGATAAATTGAAATTAATTTTATGTCTTAACAATCAAAAGGTTAACATACAAATATATGATATGCCGAAATTATTAATACAAAAGAAAATTATTATTCTTACATATTTTCGGGGAAATCAGTTGTACATCAAAATGATAATCATTTAGTGAATAACCACAGAAGTCTTAAAATCTATATCATTAGTACATTGTCTCCTCTAATACCTCAGCTGAATAATATTTTATTCTAGAGCTTTCATAGGGAGACCTCGCTTATTAACACGGAATCGCATTAAGCCAGACAGAAAAAAAGACCATTTCCCATGTTTTTTTAACTATGTATATATATCAAGTGACGGGACAAACAAGGTCGAACTGATAATGAGCTATACGCCTGTCCATAAAAGTTGCAGTGCCACTCAGAGCTTTAAATTCCAAAGATCTGAGGGGCACTGCCACTGCGACCATCAACCTGAGACGTATGTAGACAAGTCCCCTGTCCCTGTAGTTTCACCAGATGTAATAAGAGAGAACAATATTTTTAGCGTCGACTGAGTGGAAACAAAGCTTTTTTTGACCGACTCTTGCCGATTTCCCGGTAATAAGTGTGGTGACCCTAAGTTAAAAAACATTGCGACAGGAGGGTAGCGAAGGCGGTCTGTGTGAGCTGTCGCTGTACTGCGGCGCGGTGGCGGCGCGGCTGGACCGCGGCGGTTGGCGGCACCTGGCCGCGCGTTTGCGCCACGACGCTCTGCTCTCCTGGCTGGCGCACACGCGCAGCCCCACCGCCACGCTGCTCGCGCACATCAAGGTATGCATGTATGCAAGGTACAGGCATACCTCGCCCTCTCGACTATGTTAGGGTCCCTCTGCCTATCATGCCTATTGCAATTATTGATGGCATATAGCACGAGGCAAACGTAAGAATATAAGATGTCGGTTCGGTTATGTAGATAATGCTGAAAACTTATAATGTCATGTAACTCCAGAGATATTTATTTATGTCTATATGTTGGATTTTTTACTGATCTAAGAAATTAAGACTTTAGGAACCGTTTGGCGCATATAACTAATAAATTGATAATATTGTGGATTGGATCCTTTTTGCTTAACTACGTCCAATTTATCTATTACCATTATATTATTAATCTTCTGACTTATTGCATACCTATATGGGGAGGTACGTACGAAACTTTACTGCTCAGACTAGAGAGAGCACAAAGACATATCCTTAAGTCATATCTTTTAGGCGTAGAGACTATCCGACAAGAGAACTTTGAGAACGTCGGTTTGTTTGAAAAACAAATATACGCGATTTAAATCCGGAAAAATAGTTTCATTTCCTAAGAGAACTTTACTTAGATTGTAGAGTTCTAACAGTGAGGCAGTTATATATCTTACGTGTTTCGCCGTCACTCTGTGTTACCCTTGGACAAAAAACCATTCTACGTAGATCTAGTTGTCTTGTCTGTCCTCTAGTACAAATTCGCACCGCATTTTCGAGTCGTCAATTTCTTGCTCTGAGCCCAAGACTCTACAATAAGGTTAATAAAATTGTACATATTTATACGTTTAGCAAATTCGAAGTTAAGCAAAGATTGGTCACATGGTTATTAACATTAAACCATGAAGCGACCAAACAGCTTCTTATAACGACATTTTAAATTGTGTTAAGAGTATTTAAATTTAGAAGATTACATATTTATAACTTTTTCTTGTACTGATGTAGGTATTATAATCCTATTGGAACCACAAAATTTTCACAGTGCATAATTGTTTAAAATGTTTATGCCTTGATTTAGAGAATCTCCTGAAACACAGGTCTAATACCTAGTTCAGGAGTTGGAAGTTCATATATAAATAATAAAGTAAATTATGTTGTACGTCTTTAGTATTTGTAACATTATGTGTAACCTGCATATGTAAAGTACGAAAAAAATATTATTATTATTATCAAAGCTTCTCTAATTTGTAGTGATAATAAACAAATCAACTAGAGCGCGCTTATTGCACAGATTTGTATGGATAACGCCGGCTATTCTTTTATTTTATTTGACGATGACTCGCTAAATCATCGAACATATTATGATCACATAACGCATGTGTCGTGATCGACCCGGGTCATCAGGATTGATTGATCGACACAGGTCTAATACGTGTTCATTCGCAGAAATAATTAATTTCATGCTAATTTTGTTTCAGGAATCGGGCGACAATTTAACATCGAGAGCATTAGCAATGCATTTAGAAGAGTTAGGGGAAATTGAAGCCGCCAATATCATAAGGCAATATATTGATTGACAGTTACTTTTACGTATAATGTAACATTTTGTTACTGTTGAGTAATCTAAATACTTGTTGATCTGTCATACAAAGGTTGGTTTTGATCCCTAGAAATTCGCATTTTTTTATTACATTTTATAGAAATAAGACGATCAGCTTATACAAGTTTGTGATACTTTCTAAACAATGAAAACCTTTTTAAAGGTTTCACGTTTATGAATAATTCACACTGACTACATAGGTTTCTCCCAATTTGTACGTCCGCAATTATTTCTAAGCAGAAAATGTATAGTACGTGGTAATTGAATGAATTTGCTTTATCCTTACAATATTTTAATATAAATTTATACTAACGACAGGTTAATAAGTTTTATCGTGTATATTAGATGGTAATTGAATTTATTGCTGTAGATAAGAAAAAATATTGAAATTAGAATTTTTAATAGTTAGAGCACGTAATAAATAAACGCATATTTGTCAGCAATGCACGCATAAAAATATGAATTGTTACATTTCAATATAGCAAATAAACCCTGCGTGAACGTTGAAGAGTCTTAACATTTATACAATTATTAATACAAAGATCGAACACTGAGAAAAAATTCCTTCGATTCGGCAGGATTCGAACCGACGTCTTCTAGCAAACCGTGTCTGACGCTATGCCAACTAAGCCACAGAACGAACCAGCGGACCTCACGAGTTTTCCCATGCTTTTTTTTTAATATATAATAGACACACGCTTGGCCACAATCTCACCTGATGTTAAGCAACGATGTGTAAAAAATGCCTATTCACATGTGCTTGTTGTTGGATATTTGTATTTGGTTTTTCAACGACTTTTTAATTAAATACAAATTTAATTACAGATAATAGCGACATCTCTCGCCAGGGCTGGTAGCTGTAAAGTTACCTAACTGAGTGACGAAATACTTTCATAGATTTCTCATAGATGGCGTTACGGCTACAAGTTCGTTGAAAAACCAAATACAAAGACACGACAATAAGCACATGGAAAAATTCGTAAGGTCCGTTGGTTCGTTCCGTAGCTTAGCTGGCATAGGGTCTGGCACGATTTGCTAGAAGACGTCGGTATGAATCCGGCCGTCTCTCCGAATCTTTGTATTAATAATTATAACGAGCTAGTGTAGTAATTTCTCAAAAAATAATTGTATATCCATTCAATACAAATTTATTCTTAACATTGACTTACATTTCAGCAGTGTATACACCTGGTTTTTTTTTTTTCAATATTTATAGCAAAATCCAAATGACGTTAGACTACGTAGGATATTGACTCAAATGTATTTTTCAGTTTAGGGGTTGGACGTCATTTGTAAGCACGCGATCGCATCATCCATGTACACTTATTGCACCGCATGTAAGCACTTTGCATGCGACAGCGCGTGCTAACGCGCTATACAGCATACATACGCGGCCAATTGAATCGATTACGACGGTATCGCTCCTTGCGAATTAGTGGGGTCCAACCATAAAATTACCTAGATAGTAAGAGACTGTGATAATAAGTGGCTTATGTTAACGAGTTACAAAAACTGTAGGAGAATCATACACGCCCCAGTTGGGTACGAGACTCCTCAAAGCGGAGGGTTTAGGCCAAATACTGTTAACAAGTTTAAGTTTTATTATACAATTTAAGTAATGCACTCATTAGCTAAGCTCAGTCCACTTACACACGTGGTACTGCGATGCAATAAAATATTCTGCCGCCGTAAGTTGAAAAAGCTGTATTGCTGTGATCAGCAAAAAAAAAGACGAATGCGCCACTGTTTACATTTTTTTCCTAGGTGGATTAGGCATGAAGTTACCATAAGAGAAAAGGGCGTAAGTACCCACATTTTATGGTCAAAATAAGTTATATGGACCCATTTACAAAACAACTTGGTAAAAAGCCGTAATTGCATATAAACGTCATTTCGTTTTAACTACATATTTCAATGATATAAGTTTTTAATAAATCATATAAATAAAGGAACGAAAAGACGCAAGTATCATTTAACTTTCTAAATCTTCCTCAGAGCTATTATACTCTGTATGTAGTTACTGAAAAGTGTTAATTTCCCAGATGACGGTTACACAATGTATGTGAGCAATTTAAACTAAAAGGTATTTCCAATGTTACCTTTCACTTATACAATAAAAATCTAGAAAATGTCAAGCTACGACATTGGAAAGACATTGTAACCACATACTGCCATTTCATCTTATCATTACACTGACGTTAACAATAGTGTTTTAATTATACTAAGTTGAAAAGGCATAAGTGGTTACTTGCACGGTGGGCACCTTACCTAGTATTGAGTATTTTTACGAACATTGTTTTACTAAGTTGAAAATGGAAAAAGGGTCATCATTAAATAATGAAGCATAAATAATAAAATATTTTAATTCTAAATTTTGCGTATAATATAGGTTTATCTTACTGCGTCTACAGAAAGTGTGTACGTTTTTTTCTGTTTGGAAACAGCAGATGTTTTCTCATTTCATTTCTTTAAATATTATTTTCTCAGTTTTGAGTTGTTGTCACAAGCGCCCTTTCAACTAACGGCGGCAGTATTCATTGGGTTTCTTAACAATAACACTTAACGACTCGAGCTAGAATGCGATTGATAAACACGTTTATGTGGTTTCGTGTGTGTTCTGCCCCACAGTAGCGCACCGCCAGTGCGGGTCATTTTGGTCGAAATCCATTTATCAGCTCGTTTAGTAAATAGAACTTGCTTTTAGTGATTAAATAGGGTGCGGTGCAAATACGTGATGATAAGTGGAGATCGACCATTTCAGTCGTCTCAAGTTTTTATTATACTTAATTAGTGCATATTTTAGTATAAGGCCAAATTGTTTTTAATGAAATTAAATGTTATTTTTAAAGAGCTTTTTATTTTCATTTTTAATGAGCCTTTTGGTTTACTTTCAAAGCTTAATTGAATGATAATTAAAACTAGTTAGACATAGAGTAAGCAGATATAAATAATATTGTTTTCATTAGAAATAAGAAGTTAGTTTAGGAAATGAAATTATTTTTCTTTTTTCAAACAAACCAACGTTATGGGCCCTTTACAGCTGCCATTGTCACGATTGACTGAGGTGGTACAGAATATTAATGCAAACCACCCTATTTTTTTATTATTAATTAAATACCTTATTTTTAATTTTACAAAGAAACATTCCGATTTACGTTACATTACGTGTTACGAATTATTTTATAGAATGAATTTTTATAAAGTTAAATTTATTATTAATTAATAATAGAAATTAGAATAAATTAAAGCATATTAAATCTGCCGATGCGGCATCAGCGGTTCCGAGACTTGCCTATTTCCGTTTCTTATGGATGGCCAATTAACTTCCGCAAAGTAAGAGTGCGGCGTCAGCGGATCCGAGAGTGACTTATTTCCGGTTATTATGGACGGCCAACTAACTTCCGCAAAGTAAGAGTTAATTAGTACTGCAGTCTTATGTCTATTTAGGATTTTTCATCAGAGGAAATACCCCTTCGGTACAATCGGTCTACCTTCCCGATCGGTCCACTTTCACTATTCGTCTACTTTCCCTATCGGTCCACTTGTCCAAATGGTCCACTTTCCCGATTCGTCTATTTCCCATTTCGTCTACTTTCCCGATCGGTACACTTGTTTTACCCGGTTCGTCCATTTCCCATTTCGTCTACTTTCGAATCATTTCGTCTAATTTCGAATTCAATCGGTCCACTTGTCAAAATAATCCACTTTGCAAATTCCTAAAAATTTATGTAAGTTAATAAAATTTAAAAAAAAAAATTCGTTTTACATATTTTCAAAGGCAGTTTGTAATTGCATAATTGCAGAGTTGTCATGGAGTACATTTTTTATATTTTTGATACTGATGACCGCTTTACATTAACCATGATTTGAAAAAACAAAATCAAGTAGACAGTTCGTTTTTAACAGACTCCAAAACGTGTACGCTATAACTCAACGGCATTTGGGAACCGATTTTGATGATGCTTCTTTGTTGGAAAGAGGGGAGTGGTGCATTTAAATTTGAAGAAAATATTCCATCTCTAAGGGTGGCAAACTAGAACGTGAATCCGGATTCGCGCACTTTCCGGTAACCGATTTCAATAAAACTTGACAAATAGATGTAATTCCACGAACTTTTGAGTCGGTTTTTTTAGTACTCTGTACTGAGATTATCTGAGTAGACGCATCATTAAACTAGACCTATCGGGAAAGTAGACCGATCGGAAAAGTAGACGAAATGGGAAATAAACGAATCGGGAAAAACAAGTGGACCGATCAGGAAAATAGATGAATGGTGAAAGTGGACCGATCGGGAAAATAGACCAATTGTACCGAAGGGACTGGATCCCAAACTGGTGGTACGGAGAAACCATCTTCCCTGGAGAAATTAGAATGTTTTTTAATTTCAATGGCTTCTCGCAGCATCCTGGGTAGATAACAGACTACGATACATACGATGATGGTGCCGAGTATGACGATGAGTATTTACTGTAATTCACTGAACAATTATGGCTTTATTATTAAATAAAATCATGGTGAATGCCTCTTGAGTTGCTTCCGTAAATCGTCGAGCGCAATTTCATTTCTTTATGCGAACTGCTAGAAACACACCATAGCAATATCTTCCTATTGTTATACTCGTACTTTTTTATACATTTATTAAATATTTTATCAAACTGTATTTGTTTTAACTTTAACTAAGTAACACTATAACATACAAATACAATAACATAAAAAAAATTACTGGCAGCCTTTCTTGTACGTCTGGCGCACCCTAGGAATCCTTTCACCACAGTGGCAAGCTGGGGATGCGCCTTACCCGGCACTCGATCAGCCGGCAGTAACGAAGGGTATGTTCCAAACAGATGTCGAATTTAACAATATTGAGGTAACGCTCATACCCCAATTAAAAAAAAATTTGGTATTTAAAAAAATATATACATTAGCATAGTCGTAACAAAGTATCACATCAATAAAAATACTGAACCGCTAACTACTGTCAGTTGTGACGTGCATCAGCTCAAAGTACGCTCTTATAATTATTCCGTAACGTACGTGTCGGTACGTGTTTGTATGAAACGCTTAAACCTACATCAAAAGTTTAAATATCTCTTTCTCGAAATGTTGCTTTTATGAGTTACGACTATTTGCTTGGGACGCGTTGATATGCGTCAACATGTATCGGTTACAGATCCTACTAATTTCAAAAAAAGGGACTGTTGGTTATTACGTAGGTACATATTTATTATTATTATTTTTTATAATAACGCACACACTCAACATAGCCCCGCACTAGGGCAACCCTGTGTCGCGGGTGCCATGGACACACACATAGACAACCATAAATTACACCCAAACTCACGAGAGAAATAAATGTAGGCCATACAAATATTTCTCCCGGCCCGGGAATCGAACCTGGGGCCTCTGCGTGGCAGTCCGGCATGGTAACCGTTCGGCCACGGAGGCAGTTAGATTATATATATATATATATATATATATATATATATATATATATTTATTATACAGATTATAATGGGGAAGTTTACACATACACACAGGGCCACGTGGAGCTGACCGTACGAAAAGCAGCTCATACTGGGATCACCATGCCAATACTGTCTGCGTCTGATCCTGCGCCTTGTTGATGATCATAGCGTAACATTAGTGGACTGGAAACTGTATTCGTTTAAAACTGAATGGAAAATTGTATAGAATCAGAGGGATCCGGGATATAAAAACACCACCAGCGTAACACCCTGGTAAGACCCCAGCTTGTATCACGTTTCGTTGTAAATTTCTAACTTTTAATCAATTTTGGTGGGCTTCAAATTGTGAGGATAATTAGTGCATGCCGATATTATCGTTTGGTCAACACATGCACTTCATTCAGACTTGTGCACGCGCATATGAAACATACTTGCTTTGAAATTGACATATCTTTTCTATTGCTTAACTATGAAACAAACAAAGCTGCACCATTTGGGTGCTACACCATTGCGGTTCAGCGATTGTGGGTGTTAGTGTGCACCGAATTGTAAAAACTGATGTATTAGGTTTAGTAGTAGCGTGTCTTCAGCAGGTAGTAGGTACTATTACGTTAAAATATTAAAAGTACAGTGAAGAACAGCTGCTTTACGATTTTATTATAAAGTATTTATTTAATAGTTATATATTACAAATTTGATATTGTACTTGATAATTTGAATAAACTTATTTACTAGTGAGTACCTCCACCATCCTCTCTCCTGAGGCCTTCGAAATCCGTGACGTAATCTGTAAGGAATTATTTGTTTCAAATACGAGTAATATTTATAATCTTATACAATTAATGCAAGTCAAACAAACGCGCGAGCATGATGCGCTACTTACTTAAAAAATTCTGATTGTTAATGTCGAAATCAGGGTCGGGAGACAGAGGAGCCAAGATATTGTCGTAGTCTTCTTCGTTATAGGAGAAAGGTTGATTGACCATTGCACGGGTGTCCAAATCACTACTAAGCATCGAACTTGTGGAATTAGCATTGAACGCAGTTGCATTGTATCCACCACTCGGTTCAGCTGTCTGAAATTGAAACAGTTCAAAATCATTTTACGCTAAATGTCCCGAAAGGTCTACTTCATGGTGATACCAATATTGCATTCAGTAATTATAAATATATTAATCACTCCTTGGTCGTTAAATTGACAAGTTAGAAATAGATCCTCGCCATGTCGCGTAAATTAAAAAACCATTTTCTTCTATTGAACACGCGTACCTACATTAGTGTCTAAAAGTCAATAAAAGCACCAACATTTCAGGATCAAAAGTTATTTGTTAACCCTGAATACTCACAGGCATATACAACGACATAATTTTTAATTATGTTTTCCCCCAACAGGTGACGTCAATATGGGCGTCTGCGTTCGATATTGCATACGATTGTGTTATGAAATTGTATGAAGATTAAGAATTTTTAATACAAACCAGTTAGTTACAAATGGCTAATAACGGACTACGCGGTCCACAGAACTGTAATGGAAGCGTACTTTACGCTCTCCAGCGCAGGATTATATGATCCACCATATAGATACGTCTACGGATAGATTATTCTTACAAGGTTTATTGTCGATGTTGACTGTCATCTTTAAAAATAAAACACTATTACAGCAGGTTATACGAAAAGAGTAAGTTGCATCTCCAAATTAGGTAACATTTGTAGTCTTCTACAAATGTTACCTATTTTGGATATGCATCTATGTCTTTGTCTTTACGTACATATACCCGTTATCATACCTGTGATGCTTGGCAATTAGTGGTCAACTCTGAGGAAACACAAGTATAGTCGAAAATTGTAGATGTAGCCTGTGAAGCTTGATTCACTTGCACAATTTGTGAAAAAGAATTGCATATTGGGTATGTTTTTGCCGAGGCCTGCCAGTTGACATCAAATCCAGCAGAACCAAGAAGTGGGTCCGTTCTTCTACATTGCAGCAAGCCTTGAGACTCACTATGTGTAGTGAGGTCACCGAATTGGCTACCTTGAGCATCTTGCAACATGTTATTTTGAAGCATATTTGCTTGCTTGCTTGCTCCTGCTGTGGCAGTCCAAGTCGTTAATTCACTTCCTAGAATCATTTGCCCTATGTTGTCAGAGTAATCATTAATTGGATTTTGCTGAGGAAAGACGCTAATTTGAGAATTTCCTGATTGCGTTGCACTGACGTTATTCTGGGAGTTTCCCGAAATGTTGACTGCACTTGTTACAGATGTTGAAATATCAGTAGTACTAGTACCACCCCATAGAGACGATTTTTGAACAGGGATGTTGTGTAAGCTTTCTATTCTTCCTAGACCCTGAAATAAATTATAAGGCGTAACAAATTTGAATGCTAAGAAGTCGTTAATTCCATTGATGAAAATAACTTACATTTCTGGATTTACGTCCGCCTCTAGTACTTGGAACCGAATCGTCGTAACAAGATAATTTTGAGTAAAATCCTGAAACTCAAAAAAGCTTGATAGAAATCACTTAAAGTGGGAAGAAATTCGAAATTTCTCTTGAGAAATGTAGGCGAGTTTTTGACAGAGGTTACATTATATCGCTGCCTTTAAACAAAAACGCAGTATTGCAGAATACCTAATACGATTTTGAATTTGAACTAAGCGTACAGCGACGGGCAGAGCCCACGAAACATTATCGTGAATAAAGCACCCGTCTTTTTACGTATAAAAAAATTTAAGAAGATGATTGGTTCTTTATTCACGATATAGTTTCGGTATAGTACTTAGTAAGGTTTCTTTTTCTACGGAATTTAGGTGAGTTTACACATAAATTTGACAGAGGTGTTAAGTATTTATATCTTTATTGTATGAAAAGATGTAAAAACAAACCAATTTGAAATTGTCGGAACACAAAAGAAGCCGGAGTGAATTGAATTCATAGGTACAGAAATTACTTTTGGGCCGTGAAATGACGACGCAGTAGTATGGATTGCCATTGATGTCAAATGTTCTTATCATTGGAAGAAATTAGTTGTATAAGCTTGCGCTACATGGTTAAAATAAAAATTAAACTTGTCAACATAAACCTACCAAAATTATTAAGCTTGGTTCTTTTGCGGTAGGCAGCGTAGAGATCAGGGCGATAAAAGAACTGGCGCGGCTCGCTCACAGCACCGTCATTCGGACGTAGCAATTGCATGTATACTTTCACTTCCCCAGATATGTTCTGATCTTTGTATGGCGGAATGCTGACGAGAAACATAAATCTATTAGATACATCTTCGTATATAAGAGCGCTCAAACATTGTGCGATTGTTCTTTATTTTCATTAGCCAAAAATAGTAAATATCGAGTGCTTAGGTTCTCGCGATTGCTTCTACATTGGAAAAAAAATTCTCAGATCTAAATCGCATATATTTGTTTCCTCAAACAATCAAACGTTTCGGATTCTTTACAGGTTCCAAAAATACGAGTGACTGCGATGGTATTACCGCAGATCACTTAATAGTTGCTACTTCATCAATCAATTACGTCTAAGGCTACGGTTACTATGGATGCGAGTTCTGACGAAAATATATTGTGACGATTTCGTCCGAGCAAACAAACGCCTGTTTTTCAATGAGCGTGTTTACACTGGCAGCTACGAATACATTAGAACATGCATGATGTCTCGTAAGACCCAGGTGGAACGTTCAAACAAATTAATTTTTTCGTGCGACCTACATCTGTTTTGGGTGTTTTGAATTTCGAGTGATATGGTTATTTCACCATGGATAACGATAATTGATAAATCTTGTGTACATTTATTACATAATCAGTTAGAATAAATGTTTACATTTTATGATATGAAACGCCTTGTTCAGACGAGGATTTCGGACGTATTCATCCGAACAAGTTTTCAACAGAACTCGCATGCGTAGTAACCGTAGCCTACTTGTATTTTATAACTATAGTTCAGGATAAGGTGGTTTGTGTTAATATTGGGCACAACTGGTTGATAATTACCGTCTCAGTCAGCCGTGACCATGGCATCTGCAAAGAGCCCGAAACGTTAGTTTATTATAAAAAACCGATATACGCGGATCAGATCCGTGTAAAAATAATTTCATTTCCGATAGTATGCTTTTATCCGATGTTCATATATTACGTGTACTAGGAAAACTAAAAGAGGCGGCACTACAGTGGCCAAGAAAAGAAAGATCTAGAATTCGTAGTCTTTGTCGTACTGTTATTTTATAGCGTCTGCTTGAAACTTCTCTTACTTGAATACAATGGCCGTTTGGCGATGTACGTGTGAGGGCAAAATGTGGACATTAGTGCTCCAAATCTCATCTTCATTTTCGTCCAACTCGTACATCCGAACCATTATATTACCTGAAAAGTAAAACAGAGGACTGGACTACCGTTAATCATCCTAAAAACCAAATAAGAATCTTAAGAAACGAAACCAATTTCAATTGTTTGGATATTCAAATAGTTACTTTTAATTACGTTATTATTTTATAAAGAACAGTTTTGGTATTGGATGATTACTTTATTTCATAGAGCTATTATAGATCACAAAAAGCCAAATAAAATAAGTCACTTTGGCAGGTTCGAATAAGATGCTTTAGGCGAGTACCTGTACTATTTTACAACAATATGAAGGCCACAATACGAAGTGAATGTAATTTTCCCTCCCTTGCTCAGGAAACTACACGACACATATCTATCACGATTTTTTTAAATATAATTTTCATCTATTTCGTTAACATAATTTGAAATGTATTGAAGCAAGAGAGCTAGGTTTATTTAAAAACACTTTTTTTTTAAAGTTATATGGCGACCGTCATTAACTTTCCAAATTAAAGTGATATTTTCGAAGGGTAAATGAGAAACGGCAAGCCTAACCACGCCGCGGTTATTATATTATACGCCACGGTGGTAAGCATTAAACTATCTCCAAAAGGTATACAGCAATAATATTATTATCACTTATCGATAACACAAGAATTCCACTGTGCGCATCACTAATGACAGCCAAAGGTTCTCTGTTGTCGAGGAGATACTACTTTTACGTCGTAGTCCAGCTATTGGCCGTAAGATGGCAACACGTTGTATAAAATTTCAATAAAATCAAACCGTCGTAATTTGCAAAGGTCTTAAACTTTCAACGATATAACAACTGGGTAAAGTTTAAATTATATTAACAGCCCAGGACTTGTTACATCTTTTTTAAGTTAGGAACTACGACCAATCATTATCAAGATTTCATAGTGTTTATCATTTGTTTGTGTGCGTTTTAGCGACCGCGGTTCTAATAGTAATCGATGCTTATGGCACTTCCATTGTTTTTTTTCTTCCGTGGCCGTAGCAATAAATATATGAAAATAAATAGGTATTTATATTACGTCTCAATAATGTTTTTAGTCGTTGTATTTTTAAAGGGAAAATTAAAATACACGTTATTTTCAAATACGTACACCCAGCCTTGCCGTGCGAGCGCTCGTGTCGCACGGGCATTTTTACTGTGCTTTTCACAAAAGAAGTCCCGCGACAATTGCCGGAACTAATTTGTTAGATCTATCTAATTTGACTGTCATAACATGGCCCTACCACTGTGGTCTACCATCTTTTGCGAGTTTTTAATACTCATTAAGTATCTACAACAATGTTACATCATTCTCAACCAATATTTCGACATCCTTCGCAAGATTACAGCGCTGCCTCTGGGGGACTTCTCTTATGAAAAGGACTCTAGTAAGTTTGCAAAAACAACTTCTCAGTGTTTGGGATCTGGAATAGTAAAGTCTAATTACTGGAAACGGTACAAAACGAAACATTTCGGGACAATCCCGGATTTCCCAGCCATCTGGCAAGCCTACATACGACTCTGTTGCTGTTTAAATTTTGACACAACTATAATATATACGTAATGTACTTATAGTTAAGTTTTTAAATGTATAACACTTAAAATTCAAAAAATCCCGATGCAAACAAGTATACTCCAAAAGTCAAGAAATTTACTATAATAATTGTAAGCTAACAACTCGTCAAGACTAATTTCATGTGCCCAAACTCGATGAGCAAATGGTGCTGTCTAAACAGGCAGTAGACGATTTGCGGGGTCTCTAAAATTCAAGAGAAATACAAAATGGACCGGTTTTTTACTATTGATCCATCTGTTAATGAAAACTAGAGAGCCACGCTCATCGACTAAGCTATATTTATCACTTTCAGACCGGGATCAAAATGAACCACTTGGAGCCATAATTTATTGTCTGACAGGAAAGATTTCACAATCCAAAAGTTTTGTCGTGCTTAGTGCCTTGTTCTTAGTTTTTCTATTAAATTTAGTTGTTTTTTTTTTTCAAATAAATTTTTAAACCTGTTTTTATTTTTTTTACATTAATATCAAACTATTCAGCTTCAATATGAAAATTTGATTATGTGGGGCGTTTTGGGGGCTCCACCTACATCTTGGAGCCCAAGCTAACCTCACCTGCAGGTGGTGCGCCAGCTGATACACGGACGAAGCTCTAGCGAGGGATTTTCCCTTTCGGGGGTTGGGAGGTCAGACGGCAGTCGCTCCCGTAAAAACCAGCACCGCCACATCAACTTATGGAAGTCGTCAACAGAAGGATATGGCATAGGGATAGGGCGCCGCCGCAAAACGGCCGCAGGAGCCTCGCCCGACTTCTGTGGCAAGTGGACTAGCGCTACCGTGTCAAGGGTGGGCACGGTTAAAGAGGCGAGCCCCTACCCATCACAGGAAGCTCCGCTTTGCCACGTGGAACATTGGCACGCTGACTGGACACGCGAGGTAGCTAGCAGACGTGCTTTCCAGGCGGAAGGTCGCCGTGGCGTTCCTGCAGGAGACTTGGTGGAAAGGCAGCAGATCCCGGCTCATTGGGAATGGCTACAAGCTGATCTACACCGGTGCTCCTGGGGGCGAAAACGGGGTGGCCGTGGTGCTCTCCGAGGAGTTTCACGATCACGTCCTGGAAGTGAAACGCTTTAGTGACCGGCTTATGGCAATGAGGGTGCTTATCGAAGGGGTCGTGACCCACTTGATAAGCGCCTACGCACCTCAGGCCGGTTGCAGCGACACTGACAGGGCGAGGTTCTGTAATATCTCGGGGGAAGTGCTGAGTGCCATTCCTTTGTCGCAGACAGTCGTCTTTGGTGGCGATCTGAAGGGTCATGTGGGTGAGGCGTGCGAAGGGTTCGCGCGGGTCCACGGTGGCTACGGGTACGGCAGTGGCAACGCGGAGGGAGGAGACATCCTCACAACGTGTGCGGCGACCGACCTCGCCATCGTGAACACGTTCTTTAAAAAGAATCCCGAGCATTTAATCACCTACAGGAGCGACGGACACGCCACCCAAATCGATTTCCTACTCACCAGGAGACACCATATCAGCAAAGTGGCCAACTGCAAGGTATGACCTTGCTGGTGTTGGTGACACTAAACCCTTCCCTGTCACAGTCGGAGTTCACCAGGGCTCAGGGTTCTCAGTCCCTATCTGTTCAGCGTGATATTAGACGAGGTCTCAAGCTCATACGAGACGCGCATGAGCAACCCCCGTGGATGCTTATGTACGCTGACGATATCGCGCTGGCGGATGCGGATAGAGCGAGACTGGTACAACGAGTGACTGTGTGGAAGGAGTCGCTTGAGAACGGCGGTCTGAGACTAAATGTGGCAAAGACTGAGTACATGGTCTGCAACGCTACAGATCCCCTACCCGTACGCATAGGCGAAGACGCGGTCGAGCCTACGGGCCAGTTTAAATACTTGGGATCTGTACTTAGCGCGTCCGGAGACATCGACTGCGACGTCAGAGCCCGAATCGCAGCCGCTTGGGCAAAGTGGCGTGAGGTGACCGGTGTCATTTGTGACCCCAAGATTAAGCTGAAAGGACAGGTCTATCAATCCATCATTAGGCCTGTCCTTTTATATGGCAGTGAAACGTGGCCCGTACTTGAGCGTCATAAGCAGGAGCTGCGTGTCACGGAAATGAAGATGCTGCGCTGGATGTGTGGAGTTTCACGGAAAGACCGTGTCAGAAACTCCCGCATCCGCGGCAGCCTTCACGCCCGTGACATTGCAGATAAACTGCAAGAAAGCCGCCTACGTTGGTACGGCCACATCTTACGGAAACCGGCATGCTACGTGGGAAACAAATGTCTCGCTATGCCACCTCCGCACTATGGAAAATCGAGGTCTGTTTCAGATCAAAAATCAATAACTTTCTTATTTGTTAAGATAGACTATTGAATTTTTGCACAAGCATAGAGTATTAAATACTGCTTTAGTTAAAGTTCAGATGCTATACTTTTATAGGAGTATGCTTTTTTTTTTTAATGAAAAAATATATTTCAGAAATAGCTTTTATTTGATTTCCTTAAGGACAACGCTACTTATATTATTAATAAAAATGTATTATTACATTAGTTTTTTTTTAAAACAATCATGTTTAAAGCTCTTATCTATTTAATTAAGAAATTAAAAGTTATAAGATTACAAACACGTATAGTAAAAAAAGTTACAAAATACTAATTTAAAAGTAAAATAATGTTAGAAATGTATGTATGTCAATGTGTATATTATGTTTTATTATACTTGTTGAACTTCAGGGTCCAAAATGAGTACATTCACTTTTAAAAGATCCAGGGTATCATCATCAAGTGCCTTCACACTTTTGCTATATGTTTTTCTAGGACTGGAAATTTACGGATCTGACATCCTCATTTGTAGCCGATCGAGAGCACTTCCTGGCATGATGTAGGCGAAATTTTTTATAATCCTTATTACGGGATTCTTGTGCATCTTCGGAAAGTTGACCAATAAGAATTACACCAAAATGCTTAAAGACTCTTTCACCATGAATCAAAATTTTGTGTACTGAAGATGGCATGTAGTACCATTCATAATTACTTACATAAATCCTGGCAGTTTCCATGGCATATTTGCCAAATTTTTCTGCATTTATCATTACGCCTGATGAAAGAGCTTGTAAAATAATATACAACCTTTTGATCAAATTCACATCCACTCCGGTGATTACAGAAGAACAATTTGCGTTGTGAAAAAATCGTCTAGCAGTATTACCGTCATTGGTATTACCACTTCCTTGTCGTGTTTTGTCGAGGATCAATCCTAGCTCCTCCCGTAAAAGTTTTTGTACTAGGGTTTTCTTTTCTTGCTTTTGTCTTTTCTTTTCTTCACTTGTGGCTGACCGTGTCCGAAAAGAAAGATTATATGAGATATGTAATACCATTTCCATACAACGTATCCAGGCATGCAATGTGGAAAGTCCGTATTGATATGCATTTTCATTTTCTGGCCTACTAGTGACTTTAGTCAGATCATTCATTTGCCGTGGAGTAGC